TTTTGATGACTGAGAATAACTTTGAGGATGCGAGTAAATTTTTGAGTGTTTGAGAGTGTCTTTTGATATCTCGAAGAGTGCCCTTGAAGTCTTAAAGGATGTCTTTGATGTCTCGAAGGATGTCTTAGAGTGTAACTTTGGTGTCTTTGAGTAAGTCCTTGATGTATCGAAGAGTGTCTTTGATTTCTCGAAGAGTAACTTTGGTGTTACGGAGAGCACCTTTGACTATTTTTCTTACTTAACGACATATAATTTTACGAAAGTGCTGAAAAAGTTACATTTGACTATTTTTTCTTACTTAGCGACATATAATTTAGTTACGAAAGTGTTGAAAAAGTTACATTTGACTCTTTTAGTTGAGGAAAGACAAGAAAAAAATATGACGACAGTGACTATTTTAGTGCTCCACAAAGTATAAATGTCAGTTAAGAACGACGATGATAGATATCTTTGACTATATTTTCTTACTTGACGATGGATAAAGTTAGTTATGAACAGTGCTGAAAAGATTCCTTTGACAATTTTTAGCTAAGCGAAAGGTTGTTTTAGTTAAGAACGGTGTTGAATGAGATTAATCCTGACTATTTTCAGATGAGAGAAGTGATATTTCAGTTAAGAAATGACAAGGAAACATGATGAAGTAACTATTTTTAGTTGACCGATGAATACTTTTAGTTGAGCAAAAGACAAAACATGATGAACATGACTTTTCTGATGATTGGCGGATAATTTTTAGATAAGAAATGACAATGAAACATGATGAACACGGTAATTTTCTGTTGACTATGGATAAGTTTAGTTGAAAAATGACGAAAGTGACTATGTTTTAGTTGATTGGCGAAAGATTTTTAGTTAAGAAGTTACGAGAAAGGTTTGTCTTTGTAAATTTGGAACTGAATAAAGTGTAGATTTGTTTAAGAACGGGGTTGGTAGAACTATTAAGTTGACTACGAGAATTACTTTGACATCGTTTTGAAAATAAAAACTTGGTGACTAAAATTGTTGAGGGAACTGTAATGCAGTATAATATTATTTGACAAAGAACTAGTTAGTGAATGGAAGAAACAAAGAACATAGAAAATTGAGGTTAAGTAGGGGAATGAACACAGTGAACATACAGTGAACACAGAAAACATGTAAGAAAAATTTGATGAATAGAGTGAACATGCAGGGAATATGAACTTATAGAGAATATGAAGACATGATAAGGAACATAGGGAATACAAAGAATGAACACTGAACATGTGAAGAACAAGCTAAGAACATTGAGAACATGAATATTGAGTATAAAAGTTATACAGAGAACATATGATGCACATGAAAATATGACAAAGAACATAGTGAACATACGGGGAAAACGGCAGAAAAAATTTGAACTGAGCATGCTGTGAACATTTATAGAACATGGAATGAACACAGAAAACATGGAAAAAATGTGAAGAATACAGCTGAATATAGAGAAAATATGCAAATACAGGGGGACAAGAGCTGGAGCTCGGTAACTGACTTGATCTTATTTACTACGTCTGAAATATGACTGTTTAAAATTTCAGGGGAAAATTGATCTGTTACTAACGATCTTGTACAAATGAACTAAGGTGGAGGACGAGAGCTGGAGCTCGATAACTATTTTGATCTTATTTACGGTGCCTGAAATACAGAGGGTAAAAATTTCAGGGAAATTGATGGGTTATTTAAAAAGATACGAAAGAGAACTAAGGTGGGGACAAGAGCTAGAGTTTGATAATTGTTTGCATTTACTAAACTATGTCTGAAATACAGCGGGTAGAAATTTCGGGGAATTTGAATAGGTATTAACGAAGATACGAGAGAGAGCTAAGGCGGAGGACAAGCGCTGGAGCTCGGTAACTAAATTACTGTATTGAACTACGTTTGAAATATGATTATTTAAATTTTACAGGGATTGGACTGTTAGTATTCATTATACGACAGGGGACTAAGGCGGGGAACGTGAGCTAGAACTTGCTTACTAACACGATTTATTTGTGTAAAACTGACTTGCTTAATGAAAAGGAGCAAACATACGATGTCAGAAAATAGCTGAACTGAATGAAAGGAGAGAGAGAGAGAGAGAGCGAGAGTGGAGGGACGGTCCAGATATTATGGAGAAGATAAGATAAGATAAGAGGTAACCTGTATGCGACGTCTGGCTGGCCGGGTGTAAGGTAAATACAGGTGAGGCGACAGATTGTGAGGTAAGGGGGGGAGGGAGGGGGTGTGAGGTACGAGACCTGAAAACCCTGGCCCGCACAGGTGATTTTCTAAATTTACATGAAAACCATGGCTTACACAGACGAATTTTGTAAGTTGAAAACAGGTAAAATATGTCCGTAGAGTTCTCCTGAAAACCCTAAAGCGCTACATACGATATTTGAATTTCTCCCATAAGACCTTAACAAACTTCTAAGTCTCGGAAATTATTTTTCTCATAAGAATTCCATACTTCTAAAATCTCGGAAATTACTCACTCATAAGAAATCCTTAATCCCAAATCTGTGACTGACAAAATTTACCTGAAAACCCTGGCTCACACGCGGGATATTGGAACGTGAAAACCATGGCTCACACGCGGGATTTTGGAACCTGAAAACAGTGGCTCACACACGGGATTTTGGACCTGAAAACCATGGCTCCCACAGAGGATTTTTTCCCTTTGGACCTGAAAACCATGGCTCCCACAGAGGATTTTTCCCCCCCCCCCAAAAAAAAATCCCCTGTGGACTGTACATCTCACAGGGGATCTCTGGCCTGAAAAAAATATCGTCTGTGGACTGTACAGTCCACAGGGGTCCTCTGGCCTGAAAAAAAATATCGTCTGTGGACTGTACTCCCTACTACTATATATATATATATATATATATATATATATATATATATATATATATATATATATATATATATATATATATATATATAAATATTTATATATATATAAGGTATATATATAAATTATATATATATATATATATATATATATATATATATATATATATATAAATTATATATATAGATATATACATATATTTATATATATATATAAATTATATATATATATATATATATATATATATATATATATATATATATATATATATATATATATATATATATATATATATATATATATATATATATATATATATATATATATATATATATATATGTCGTACCTAGTAGCCAGATCGCACTTCTCAGCCTACTATGCAAGGCCCAATTTGCCTAATAAGCCAAGTTTTCATGAATTAATTGTTTTTCGACTACCTAACCTACCTAACTTTTTCGGCTACCTAACCTAACCTAACCTATAAAGATAGGTTAGGTTAGGTAGGGTTGGTTAGGTTCGGTCATATATCTACGTTAATTTTAACTCTAATAAAAAGACATTGACCTCTTACATAATGAAATGGGTAGCTTTATCATTTCATAAGAAAAAAATTGAGAAAAGCAATTAATTCATGAAAACTTGGCTTATTAGGCAAATCGGGCCTTGCATAGTAGGCTGAGAAGTGCGTTCTGGCTACTAGGTACGACATATATATATGTGACAGACAGACAATGGGACACCATTGCACACCCTCAACCCCGACCACAAGTCCCAAAAGACCACAAGCAGGCCCACTGGGATAGCCCCATAATGGAAAAGACTGTCACAGCAATGATTGACAACGCTGATGCTGAAAACAAAGCCCGCCTCCTAGCGGTAACAGCACCCCACGCCGGGGATTTCTTATTTGCGGTGCCCAATGCAGCCCTGGGAACTCGCCTCAGTCATGACGCTCTCTGCATTGGAGTTGCCCTTCGCCTTGCCGCCCCCATCCTCACCGAACATAGGTGCATCTGCGGAACTGCGATGGCAGACCAATATGGTTGTCATGGTCTGGTATGTCGTAAATCACAGGGTAAAATTGCAAGACATGAAGAAGTCAACGACATCATCAAGAGGAGCCTCGCCACAGCCCGCTGCCCGGCACAAAGAGAACCACACTTATCCAGACCTAACGACCCTCAGAAGCGCCCTGATGGGGTCACCTTGCTACCTTGGAAGGATGGTAAGCAAGTGGTATGGGACTACACGTGCGCTGCCACACTGGCCAGTACCTACGTCCACTACAGCACACGTGAAAGCGGTGGTGCTGCTTCTTTCAGGGAATCGCAGAAAATTATTAAATACAGAGGTCTAGCACACTGCTACAGCTTTGTTCCGATCGGCTCGGAGACCCTCGGTTCGTGGGGAAAATGTGCATTGAAGTTCCTGAAGGAATTGGGGGACAAATTGATCAGCGCTACAAAAGACCAGAGAACAAAAAGTTTCTTGTTCCAGCGCCTCAGTGTTGCGATTCAGAGGGGAAATGCCTGTTGCGTCTTGGGCACTAGTCCAACTTCAGAGGAATTCGAAGAAGTGTTTGACTTGCAACAATGATCGAACCCGTCTGTGACATTCATCAATGTTTCCCATTGTTGTGTTTTTCAAGAGATCCATAACCTTTAAGCACCTTTAAGCACCTTTTTGCATTATTATTTTTGTATCAACCCATGTATATCTTGTAACCATCAAATGCATAATAAAGCACAAAAAATAAAAAAGGAAGGGGGTGGTAGGAGAAAAGCACACAGAAACTGTATTGGAGGGGATCTAAACATTCCCTCTAATGCGTAATGCGTGGTTTCCTCCGAGGCTATGGGTCCCCCTTCTTCCAGCTAGAGGTGGTACTCCCTTCTTATATATATATATATATATATATATATATATATATATATATATATATATATATATATATATATATATATATATATATATATATATATATATATATATATATATATATATATATATATATATATATATATATATATGTTTCTTGTATACTTAGGATTTACTTATTGTATTTATCAAGGAAAATGGTTTACATAGAGCTGATCTGTTATGTAAGAGTATTTAGTATGTTATATGCATCATATTAATGGCTCTCTGTTATTAGGTAGTGGACGAAGGAAAATCAAATCCCTGGAGATGGACCTTGAAGGAGCTGTACACAGTGAGGAAACCCGGCAGACTAACATCTTTGACCAGGTGAGACTCGACCACGGATCAGGGCCTCAGTGACTGATTATCATAAGTGGTATTAATGTTACTTTAGTCACATTAAGTGGCTTCACTTGAAGCCACGTGATAGATAAACATTGAGATGGTTCACTTACTGTGGACGGTAACACTACAAGGATATGTTCCTGAGTCTTCCCAGTTGGTGTATTGATATTTAACCTGATGATAACCTGCGAGGTGCCAGGTAGATTAAGGGCTCACCATAGCCCGTGCTACTTGGAACTTGTTCCGAGTAGCTGAATCTATAACAACAACAACAACGTATACGTACATGACAACTTGCGATGTGTATGTACATGACAACTTGCGATGTGTATGTACATGACAACTTGCGATGTGTATGTACATGACAACTTACGATGTGTACGTAAATGACAACTTGCGATGTGTATGTACATGACAACTTACGATGTGTACGTACATGACAACTTGCGATGTGTATGTACATGACAACTTGCGATGTGTACGTACATGACAACTTGCGATGTGTATGTACATGACAACTTACGATGTGTACGTACATGACAACTTGCGATGTGTATGTACATGACAACTTGAGATGTGTATGTACATGACAACTTGAGATGTGTATGTACATGACAACTTGAGATGTGTATGTACATGACAACTTGAGATGTGTATGTACATGACAACTTGAGATGTGTATGTACATGACAACTTGAGATGTGTATGTACATGACAACTTGAGATGTGTACGTATATGAGAATACTGCTTTAATTTATTTATTTATTTATATACAAGAAGGTACATTGGGGGTTAACAGAGAACATAAAAATTAAGTTAATTTTACATTCTTATACAGCCAGTAGCACGCTTAGCGTTTCGGGCAAAAATACACTATGTTCATCCTTGTTCATTAATGTTTATTAATGTTCATTAATGTTCATTAATGTTATCCCATACTCTGTAGCTCTCAGGTACTGTACTAACACACACTAACGCTTCCATATTTTAGGTTGAAAAAGGTGATAGACAACTGTTTAACAGGTTATTTATAGGATTATTTTAGGCAACTTTGTCTGACTTTTACAATGTGCATCTTAGTAAGACCGCTGCCTTATGACTGTAAACACATCGAGGTTGTCCGCTCGCCTCAAGTGATAACTGCAAACAATGACTTAGTATCTAATTCTTCTAAGCATTACTTCATTGTTTCTAAAGTAATATTTTAGTAATATTTCGTCATCCTGTATCCCAGTAATATCCTGGGGGGCCTGTATTCATATAGACCAACAAGGCGATACTACCACTGACCGGTAGGCCTATCAACCCCCTTCATAATACACAACCTTTATTACAGCATGCTTCCATCAGTCTCAGGAGACTATGAAGTTGCGGTCTGGAGTGACCTCTCCAGGGCGCATAGTCAGGGTAGGTTGCAATATATTGCAATATATGACATAGATACTTAGTGATAGGCTGACCATGTTGACGTATTCTGAGTATATTTCCAGATTATGATTAATATCAAAATAAAAAAATTGTGTTATTACTAACATGTTCCCTGTTGGCAATATGAACAAAGCTGGAAAATACAGATGAAGGGAAAGGAACTATCAGGGGATAGCGCCAAGACATTACGTCTATATAGCTCTGGGATGGATTACGATATGGAATGGGACAAGGGGGGGAAGGGGAAGGAATGTTGCCCAACCTCTTGGACGGTCGGGGATTGAACGATTGAACGCTGATTGAACGCCATGAAGCGAGACCGTCGCTCTACCGTCCAGCCCAAGTGGAGCACAACACATTATACACTGAAGTTTTTTGTGATCAGAATAGTGATGGGGATGATGCTGGAGCATGTTCAGTAGTGATGGTGATGATGCTGGAGCATGTTCAGTAGTGATGATCATGATGCTGGAGCATGTTCAGTAGTGATGATCATGATGCTGGAGCATGTTCAGTAGTGATGGAGATGATGCTGGAGCATGTTCAGTAGTGATGGAGATGATGCTGGAGCATGTTCAGTAGTGATGATCATGATGCTGGAGCATGTTCAGTAGTGATGGAGATGATGCTGGAGCATGTTCAGTAGTGATGGAGATGATGCTGGAGCATGTTCAGTAGTGATGGAGATGATGCTGGAGCATGTTCAGTAGTGATGGAGATGATGCTGGAGCATGTTCAGTAGTGATGGAGATGATGCTGGAGCATGTTCAGTAGTGATGGGGATGATGCTGGAACATGTTCAGTAGTGATGGTGATGATGCTGGAGCATGTTCAGTAGTGATGGGGATGAGGCTGGAGCATGTTCAGTAGTGATGGAGATGATGCTGGAGCATGTTCAGTAGTGATGATCATGATGCTGGAGCATGTTCAGTAGTGATGATCATGATGCTGGAGCATGTTCAGTAGTGATGATCATGATGCTGGAGCATGTTCAGTAGTGATGATCATGATGCTGGAGCATGTTCAGTAGTGATGGAGATGATGCTGGAGCATGTTCAGTAGTGATGATCATGATGCTGGAGCATGTTCAGTAGTGATGGAGATGATGCTGGAGCATGTTCAGTAGTGATGGAGATGATGCTGGAGCATGTTCAGTAGTGATGGAGATGATGCTGGAGCATGTTCAGTAGTGATGGAGATGATGCTGGAGCATGTTCAGTAGTGATGGAGATGATGCTGGAGCATGTTCAGTAGTGATGGGGATGATGCTGGAGCATGTTCAGTAGTGATGGTGATGATGCTGGAACATGTTCAGTAGTGATGGGGATGAGGCTGGAGCATGTTCAGTAGTGATGGAGATGATGCTGGAGCATGTTCAGTAGTGATGATCATGATGCTGGAGCATGTTCAGTAGTGATGATCATGATGCTGGAGCATGTTCAGTAGTGATGATCATGATGCTGGAGCATGTTCAGTAGTGATGATCATGATGCTGGAGCATGTTCAGTAGTGATGGAGATGATGCTGGAGCATGTTCAGTAGTGATGATCATGATGCTGGAGCATGTTCAGTAGTGATGGAGATGATGCTGGAGCATGTTCAGTAGTGATGTAGATGATGCTGGAGCATGTTCAGTAGTGATGGAGATGATGCTGGAGCATGTTCAGTAGTGATGGAGATGATGCTGGAGCATGTTCAGTAGTGATGGAGATGATGCTGGAGCATGTTCAGTAGTGATGGGGATGATGCTGGAGCATGTTCAGTAGTGATGGTGATGATGCTGGAGCATGTTCAGTAGTGATGGGGATGAGGCTGGAGCATGTTCAGTAGTGATGGAGATGATGCTGGAGCATGTTCAGTAGTGATGATCATGATGCTGGAGCATGTTCAGTAGTGATGATCATGATGCTGGAGCATGTTCAGTAGTGATGATCATGATGCTGGAGCATGTTCAGTAGTGATGATCATGATGCTGGAGCATGTTCAGTAGTGATGATCATGATGCTGGAGCATGTTCAGTAGTGATGATCATGATGCTGGAGCATGTTCAGTAGTGATGATCATGATGCTGGAGCATGTTCAGTAGTGATGATCATGATGCTGGAGCATGTTCAGTAGTGATGGGGATGATGCTGGAGCATGTTCAGTAGTGATGATCATGATGCTGGAGCATGTTCAGTAGTGATGGTGATGATGCTGGAGCATGTTCAGTAGTGATGGGGATGATGCTGGAGCATGTTCAGTAGTGATGATCATGATGCTGGAGCATGTTCAGTAGTGATGATCATGATGCTGGAGCATGTTCAGTAGTGATGGGGATGATGCTGGAGCATGTTCAGTAGTGATGATCATGATGCTGGAGCATGTTCAGTAGTGATGGTGATGATGCTGGAGCATGTTCAGTAGTGATGGGGATGATGCTGGAGCATGTTCAGTAGTGATGGGGATGATGCTGGAGCATGTTCAGTAGTGATGGGGATGATGCTGGAGCATGTTCAGTAGTGATGGGGATGATGCTGGAGCATGTTCAGTAGTGGGTTACGGCGGCGGGTTCAAATGACATTCATTATGAGATGCTTTCCCATCTCCCTCCATGCACGTTTCAATATTTACAGAATATTTATAACAGTATCTGGGAGTCTTCGTCAGTCTCTAAGGACTGGCTTGAGGCGGTTCTTTCTATTCAAAAACCAGGTTCTCTAGGGACATCCCCTAGAGACTTCCGCCCCATTGCCCTAATGAATTGCGTCTGCAAACTCCTTGAACGTATTATCAATATCCGTCTGATGTGGTTCTTGGAACACTATCACCTCTCTCCTTCTCAATTTGGCTTTCGAAAGCGTCGCAGCACGACTGATGCCTTAGGGAACTTGGAGGTTTATATTCGTACTGCCTTTGCTGCGAAGACCTCTGTTGTTGCTGTTTTGTTTTTTTTACCTGGAAAAAGACGTGTCAAACCACCTGGAGACATCATATTCTGTCCCAACTCCGTTTTTTGGCCTTCGTGATAATCTTCCTCTCTTCCTACAAAGCTTTTTCTGTAGTCGTTCTTTTCGGCAATACAAAAGTGTACCCCAAGGTAGTGTTCTGAGCACTACTCTTTTCCTGGTTGCCCTCAATTGTCTTCTTTCCTCCTTTCCCTCTGGCATTTTCTTGGCTCTCTATGTTGATCATCTTACCTTCTGCTGTCAAGGTGATGACTCGCCTTTTCTCCAACGACGGCTTCAAATTGCGATTGATGCCGTGTCTTCCTGGGCCAACAATAATGGCTTCAAACTAAAACTAAGATTTGTGTTATGATCTTAACTTGGAAGCAGGTCGTTCTTCAATCCCGTTTGTCGCTTTATGGTAACTCTCTTTTGTATAAAGTTTCTGTAAACTTGTGGAGTTAATCTTTGACACTTGTTTGTCTTGGTCGCCCCATATCTCTTACCTCTGAGTTCAATGTTCTTAAGCCTTAACTTACTTAAGGTCTTGTCCCATACTTCCTGGAGACATGATTAACGCACGCTACTCTATTTACAGTCCTCTCTCGTGCTATCTAAACTCGATTACGGCGGTTCTGCTGACTCGTCTGTCTCTCCCTCCACCCATCGTCGTCTTGATGCTCTTCACCATACTGGGTTACACCTCAGCTCTGGTGCCGTTTGCTAGACTCCTACCCAACGCCTGTATGTTGAAACCGACGTCCTGTCTCTACAGGATCGCCGTGATCGCTACCTTGTGCGATCCCTACAACACCCTCACTCTCACTTATGTGATGTCGGAGTGTGATGCTCCATGGGATATTTGTTCTTTTGAAGCCTTATGCTCCTGCTGCTGTCTTCACTAACTTTGACCATTACCCCTCCTGTGGGCACTGTTCCCTTTCACCACCTTCCCCTTTCTGTCCGATTGTCTCACTTGAAAGGTTCTCTCTCGGTTCGTGTTACCAATATTTCTCCTCGTGTTGTTCCATCCTTGCTCCCATGGAGGGTCCTTCTTCCTAAGTTTTGTAAAACCTTGACCCACATGACGGAAGCTTTTACCCCTCCTACCGTTCTGAAAAGCCTTTTCCTTGCTCACTTTTCTTCATACTCCAGCTCCATCTCCGTCTTCACAGATGGGTCTAAGTCCGAAGTCTGCCGACGGTGTAGGCTACTCTGTTGTATTTCCTGACTACCCCTATATGTGTCGCCTGCCCTCGGAGACTAGCATCTTCACGGCAGAACTTTATGCAATTTTGTATGCTCTTCGTCAACTGCTTTCTCGCTGCCAATCTTCCTTTGTTGCTGTAGTTGACTTGTAGTGCCCTCATGGTTCTGGAGTCCTTTAATCCAGTCCATCCTGCGGTAGTCGAGATCCAACATTGGCTGTTTCTTATCTCCAGTAGATTTAAGCCAGTCGAGTTTTGCTGGGTTTCCAGCCATATTGGTGTTTCCTTAAATGCGCCTGCGGATGCTGTCGCTAAGGAGGCTATCCGCACTTGTCCCATTTCAGGCAAAGGTGTCCCCATATTTCAACTTCTGCCGAGTTATTTATTCAACAATCCGGGCCTGTTGGCCTTCTGTTATTGGTAACAAGCTGCATCCTCGTATGGGTAACGTGTCCCCATGTCCTTCCTCCTACCAACGTAACCGGCGGTGGGAAACGGCTTTTGCGAGGTTACGTATTGGCCACACACGTTTAACTCACGGGCACTTAATAGAGTGCCGCCCTGCTCCTTATTGTCCAAACTACATTGTCCCTCTTACGGTTGTGCATATCCATGTTGAATGTCCTGACTTCCAGGATGTGCGTGTGTCTTGCTTCTCGACTGTCCCTCGCAGTCACTTGTCCCGTGATAGAATCCTTGGTGAACCAGATACCTTTGATGTTGTTCGCCATATGTGCGTTTGTTCTCGTAGTGGCATCCTTAGTGGTATTTAGCGCGTTATGAATATCCCGCACACTTGATGGTGCTACATAGGCTCCGCGGCTTGGTGCCTTTGTTTGATAATTATTTACTTGGTTATACCTCCGTGAGTGTTGCACTTCTGGCATCTATAGAAAACACATCTCACATGTTTGGTTATACCTCCATCAGTGTTGCACTCCTGGCATTTATAACAAACACATCGCACATGTTTCTTTATACCTCCATCAGTGTTGAGCTCCTGGCATATATAACAAACACATCACACATGTTTGGTTATATTAGCGTGCATCACTTAAGCGATTCCTAACACATTTCGGTGTTGCAGTACGGTCTGATAACTGTCAACATTGCTCTCTTACACTTCAGGTTAGCCATCCATTATCAGCAGCTCGGTCTATGCGGTGTCACAGTACTAGAAAGAAAATATATAATTACTACTTATTGGCAATATTGGCATTTGATATATAAGAATTCTGACAGAATACACGTGGTACTTGTGGCGGACATTGTGGCAGTGTATATGCTGACATGAACTATAAGCTGTGTGCTCATGTTTGCCCAGATTGGAGATACTCTGGAGAAGCTTGTGATCTCGACCACGGGAAAGTTGGAGGAAGAAGAGGAGCGGCCACACATGTTCTCCAGGCTGGTCAGCCTCCTGGGCTCCCTCAGGCACCTGCAAGACCTCCATGATGTATGGAACACCTATGGCAGTCACCAACTCTACAGGTGAGAACGGTCAACACTGTACACACCTGTACTGTGTCTGCTGTACACGCGTCTGATATACACGTGTCTGCTGTACACGTACCTGCTGTACACGCATCTGATGTACACGTGTACATTTATTTATTTATTTATTTATATATATACAAGAAGGTACATTGGGTTTGTGAGAATACATTGGATAGTACAGTATTTACATTCTTGTAAAGCCACTAGTACGCGCAGCGTTTCGGGCAGGTCCTTAATCTAGCAGATAATTTTAAGTAGGTAATTTCTATCAGAATTGATAAATGATAAAGATACATTGCAAGAGAAAAATGAGATGAGAGAGATAAGTAAGTATATTAAAGCACATTGTTATATTAAAGCTCTGATTGATTACATTGACAGCTTGATTAGTAATTTAAACAAGATTAATAGACACCATACAGCAGATTGACAGCACATATAAGACAGCAATGATCACAATGGTAAAGATGTTCAGATTGGGTACATAAAGATTGGGAGACTGGGTAGCAATAGATACAGATAAACAAGATTTATAAACACCATACAGCAGATTGGCAGCACATATAAGAAAACAGCAATGATCACAATGGTAAAGATGTTCAAATTGGGAACATAAAGGTTGGGAGATTGGGTAGCAATTGATACAGTGCAATTTTAAGGAAAATAGTGAAAAACTATGAAGATGAAATTAGGTACTTTTTAGTATTGATTTTGAATCATGTAAAAGTTGGACAGCTTTTCAATTCAGTAGGGAGTGAGTTCCATAGACTGGGTCCCTTTATTTGCATAGAGTGTTTACACAGATTAAGTTTAACTCTGGGGATATCAAAGAGATATTTATTTCTGGTGTGGTGATAATGGGTCCTATTACATCTGTCCAGGGAGAGTTTCAGACAAGGATTTGCATTTAAGAACAGGGTTTTGTAAATGTAGTTGACACAAGAGAATTTATGGAGTGAGATTATGTTTAGCATGTTTAGAGAGTTAAACAAGGGGGCTGTGTGTTGTCTGATAGCAGAATTTGATATTATTCTGATAGCAGATTTTTGCTGGGTGATGATGGACTTTGGTGGAGGTGGTTTGCAGTGGTTGAACCCCATGCACAGATACCATAGTTGAGATAGGGATAGATTAGTGCATAATATAGAGAGATGAGAGCAGAGTTAGGTACATAATATCTGATTTTGGAGAGTATACCAACTGTTTTAGAGACTTTCTTAGTTATGTGTTGTATGTGGGTACTGAAGTTGAGTCTCTTGTCTAGGAATAGGCCAAGAAACTTTCCATCATTTTTATTGCTAATGTTTACATTGTCTATCTGAAGCTAAATTGCATTTGTAGATTTGCTTCCAAATAGGATGTAGTAGGTCTTTTCTATGTTAAGTGTTAGTTTGTTGGTTGACATCCATAAGTGGACTTTTTTTAGTTCATTATTAACAACATCATTTAGTGTATGTGGGTTGGGGTTGGAGTAGATGAGGGTAGTATCATCAGCAAACAAAATAGGTTTCAGAATGTTAGAGACATTAGGCAGATCATTGATGTATATAAGAAATAGAAGAGGTCCCAAGATGCTGCCCTGTGGCACTCCAACGGTTATTGGTAGAAAGGGAGAGGTTATATTATTGATGGCTACACATTGGTGTCTATCACTAAGATAGGATTGGATATAGTCCAGTGCATGGCCTCGGATTCCATAATGATGGAGTTTACATAAGAGGTAATCGTGATTAACAGTATCAAAGGCCTTTCTCAGGTCAATGAAGAGTCCAACCGGAAACTCATTTTTGTCAAGGGCTGAGTAAATTATATCAAGGAGACTAATAATTGCATCGTTGGTACTCTTTTGGGAGCGGAAGCCAAACTGACAGGGGCTAAGAATGTCGAATTTTACGAGGTAGGAGTAGAGCTGTTTGTAGATAATTTTTTCAAATATTTTTGATAGTATGGGTAGGTTTGATATTGGTCTATAGTTGTTTATGTCTGCCGGATTACCTCCTTCTTGAACTGGCGTTACTCTTGCTTTTTTAAGGATATCAGGGAAGGTATGACACTCTAGGGATTTGTTGAACAGCAGAGCTATAGGTGGCGCAAGGGCATGGGAGGCGCTCTTGTATACAATGGATGGGATTTCACGGATGTTCCCAGCTTTGGTTTTTAGTGAGTGTATGATGGACACAACATCTGACGGGCTGACTGGTGAAAGGAGAAGAGAGTTTGGATAGCTGCCTGAGAGATATGTGTCTGAGTCTGTGGGATTTTACTTGCAAGGTTAGCACCAATCGATGAAAAGAAGCTATTAAATTCATTCGCCATTTCTAAGTCAGATGACGGTGTAAGGCCATCCTTAGAGAGTGTTATCTGGTTGTGGGAGTGTTGTTTAGTTCCTAGGATATTAGAGATGGTATTCCATGTGCTTTTCATGTTGCCTTTTGCTTCTTTGAATCTAGTCTCATAATATGAAAGTTTTGCTTTTCTTATGATACTGGTAAGCACTGATGAGTACCTTTTAACTACTTCCTTTGAAACTAGGCCACTCCTAAATTTCTTTTCATATTCATGTTTTTTGTTGATTGATTTAATTATGCCACTTGTGAGCCACGGGTTATTTTTTCTTTTATCAGTTACTTGTTTGGTAAGGAGGGGACAGTGAGTGTTGTAGAGGCTTAAAGTTTTGGAGAGAAAGAGGTTAGTTAATGAGTTTATATCCTGTGAATTATTAAATTCAGATTCCCAGTTAATATTGTGAAGTGCATTAGAGAGATTGCCTAGAGCTGATTCACTATGTAGCCTGAATGAAAGTTTCTTGGTTTCTGGTGGTGATGTGTCAATGTTTGCTATGAGGAAGGTAGGATAGTGGTCAGTTGTTCTGTCATAAATTACCCCAGATGTAAGGGGAGCTGTTATATTAGTCCATAGGTGATCCAGAGTAGTGGCAGATGTTTGAGTGACTCGGGTGGGCTTGGTGATTGAGGGGATTAGCATACAGGAGTGCATGCTGTTACGGAAATAGTCAACTTGAGGGTTGTTTTGAAGACCCAGATCAATATTGAAATCACCTCCCAGAATGATGTGATTTTTGTTGAGATTGTTATTTATGATAAGATTCCTTACATTGTCTGAGAATAAAGCTATGTTGGTATTAGGAAATCTATGGATGGCACCGATTATCAGGGAGGATTTAAGGGATTTACTGGAGAACTTGGCAAAGGTATATTCACAATAGTCGTCTCTATCACTAATAACACTATTGCAAATGAAGGTATCTTTGTAATATATTGCTGTGCCACCACCTTTTTTATTAGGCCTGCAGTTATGAATGGCTTTATAACCAGCTAAATTGTAGAGTTGGGTATAGTCATTACTTAGCCAAGTTTCCGTTAAAATGATGAATGATAATTTAGTACCTAGTGCTGTGAGTAGTGCATTTATATCATCAAAATGTTTACCAAGTGACCTAACATTTTGGTTGTAAACTGATAAGCAGGTGCTATTTAGGAGTTTGTTTTTTGCAAGATTTGCTGTGTAATACCTGCAATAATGATGATCAATGTGCTGATTTGTGTACATATGGGACAGAAGATTTCGATCAGGATCAATATCAGTAAGCATATAGATAAAATAATGTCACGATACAATAAGATAAGCAATTACAGGAACAGATAAATACTAAATCTGCTGTAAATAGAAAGTAATTATAGCAAAACACAACAATACAATAATGTAACAATACAATAAGAGCTTACAAAGTATTGAGTCTGCTAAATTAGAGAATAATTATGGCAAGACACAACAATAAATGCAAGTAAACAAAAGAATTGAAACAATTAGAGGTAGAATAAAGGTCACTAGATAGCCATGGAGGATACACAAGTTTGGTGGAGAGAACAAAAAATCAGTAGAGACTGTCAAGATGAATATATAAAAAATTTGACAAATGATTATTGTACAGTAAAATAATCTTAAAGATAATAAATTTTATTTAGCTTAGTTTTTAACCTATAATTAGTATGAACTTAATTAAGAGAACAAAATGAGATCAATAATTGATTTCAATAAATGACATAAATCAATACAATTAAATTTAAAATTTAAATGGAATAGGGTAAGATTAGATTTAGGAGTAAAATTTGACAATGAAACTGAGGTAGATGCTTGCATAAGTGCATGGAGACTTGATGGATTATTTAGGAAATTATATGAATGAGAGAACATTAGGTAAATGGTAAGGGAGAGACAGCACCTTAGACAAAGTTAGATTAAGTTAGGTTAGGCTCAGGCACTGAAAGAGTTATTTTAAGTACTGGCATTGGTCGGGTTCAGGTTTTCAGATATACCACAATCACTAAAGAAGGCCAGGAGTTGTTGGTCACATTTTATTTCATATCTTTTTCCTGCACTTTCCTTCTTTGCAATGATCGTACCATTCCTAGTGTAGCACTGCTTGATAACACCTGGGTTTAGTTTGCGAATTTGACGCAGCCTGAAGAGGAGGGATCCACGCTGCTTTGTAAGACACTCATTAATATAGAGGTTGGTTTTATACTTAGCAGCTGATTGTATGAGGTCAAACTTCACAGAGGGATTTGCAAGTTTGATGAGCATTCTCCTACTGCTACGGGGACTGTTTTTATCTATCCTGATAGCTGATTTGCTATCGTTTTTATCGTTTTGACTGTTTTTATCTATCCTGATAGCTTGATTTGCTATTTGATAGCCGAGTCACTCAAACATCAGCCACTACCTTGGACCACATATGGACAAACATAACAGCTCCCCTTGTATCTGGTATAATCTACGACAGAACAACTGACCACTATCCTACCTTTCTCATAGCGAACATGGACATAACACCACCAAAAAGCAAGAAATTTTCATTTAGGCTACACAGTGAATCAGCTTTAGACAATCTTACAGAGGCACTTCACAATATTAACTGGGATTCTGAATTCAATAATACCCATGATATAAATTCATTAGCTAACCTCTTCCTCTCTAAAACTCTAAGCCTCTACAACCTTCATTGTCCCCTTCTTACCAAGCAAGTAACTGACAAAAGATTAAACAATCCATGGCTCACAAGTGGCATTCTCAACTCAATCAACAAGAAACATGAATATGAAAAGAAAGTTAGGATTGGCCTAGTTTCAAAGGAAGTAGCTAAAAGGTACTCATCAATGCTTACCAGTATCATAAGAAAGGCAAAACTTGCATATTATGTGAATAGATTCAATGAAGCAAAAGGCAACATGAAAAACACTTGGAAAACTATCTCTAGTATCCTAGGAACTAAACAACACTCACATAACCAAATAAAACTCTACAAGGATGGGGATATACCGTCAACTGATTTAGAAATGGCAAATGAATTTAATAGTTTCTTTTCATCGGTTGGTGCTAATCTTGCCAGTAAAATCCCACAGACTCAGACACATATTAACACATATCTCTCAGGCAGCTATCCAAACTCTCTTCTCCTTTCACCAATCAGCCCGGCAGATGTTGTGTCCATCATACACTCTCTAAAAACCAAGGCAGGGAACACCAGTGAAATTCCGTCCATTGTGTACAAGAGAGCCTCCCATGCCCTTGCCCCACCCATAGCACTACTGTTCAACAAATCTATAGAGTGTCACACCTTCCCTGATATCCTCAAAAAAACAAGAGTAACGCCAGTCCATAAAGGAGGCAATCCGGCGGACATAAACAATTATAGACCAATATCAAATCTACCCATTCTATCAAAAATATTTGAAAAAATTATTTACAAACAGCTCTATTCCTACCTCGTAAAATTCGACATGCTCAGCCCCTGCCAGTTTGGCTTCCGGTCCCAAAAGAGTACCAATGATGCAATCATTAGTCTCCTTGACATTATCTACTCAGCCCTTGACAAAAATGAGTTTCCGATTGGACTCTTCATTGACCTAAGAAAAGCCTTTGATACTGTTAATCACAACTACCTCTTATTTAAACTCCAGCATTATGGAATCCGAGGCCTTGCCCTTGACTACATCCGATCCTATCTTAGTGACAGACACCAATATGTAACCATCAATGATACAACTTCTTCCACTCTACCAATTACCGTTGGAGTGCCACAGGGCAGCATCTTAGGACCTCTTCTATTTCTTATATATATAAACGATCTGCCTAATGTCTCTAATATTCTCAAACCTATATTGTTTGCTGACGATACTACCCTTATCTACTCAAACCTCAACCCACATACACTAAATAATGTTGTGAATAATGAATTAAAAAAAGTCCACTTATGGATGTCAACGAACAAACTAACATTAAACATCGAAAAGACTTACTACATCTTATTTGGAAGCAAATCATCAAATGCAATTCAGCTACAGATAGACAACATTAACATCAGTAATAAAAATGATGGCAAGTTTCTTGGCCTATTCCTAGACAAGAGACTCAACTTCAGCACCCACATTCAACACATAACTAAGAAAGTCTCTAAGACAGTTGGTATACTCTCCAAAATCAGATATTATGTTCCTAACTCTGCTCTCCTCTCACTATATTATGCACTAATCTACCCCTATCTTAATTATGGTATCTGTGCATGGGGGTCTACCACTGCAAACCACCTTAAGCCCATCATCACACAGCAAAAATCTGCTATCAGAATAATAACTAACTCTGCTTTCAGACAACACTCAGCTCCCTTGTTTAAATCTCTAAACTTGCTAAATATTAACTCCCTCCACACATTCTCTTGTGTCAACTACATTTACAAAACCCTGTTCTTAAATGCAAACCATGCTCTGAAACTCTCCCTGGACAGATGTAATAGGACCCATTATCACCACACCAGAAATAAATATCTCTTTGATATCCCCAGGGTCAAACTTAATCTGTGTAAACACTCTATGCAAATTAAGGGACCTAGTCTATGGAACTCACTCCCTAGTGAATTGAAAAACTGTAAAACTTTTGCCTTATTTAAAAGCAAAACCAAAAAGTACCTAACTTCATCTATTTAGTTTCCTACACTGAGCTTTAAATTTGCTCTGTACCTAGTGGTACCCAATCTCCTAATTTTTATGTAATATCAAACAACCTTATCATTGTGTTCATTGCTGTCTTCTTTTATGTGCTAGCCTTATGCTGTATTGTGACTACCAATTTTTGTCAACTACCATTCAAGCTGTCATTGCAATCAATCTTATATTGTTTCTGCTGTATTGTGCCTACCAATTTGTTGTCAACTACCATTTTAAGCTGTCATTGCAATCAATCATAGCTACCTATGTGCTTTAATATACTGTACCTATAATTTTCTCTCATCTTTTTTTTTTTCATTCCATGTAATCTGTTATCATTTTTTTGTCTATAAATTTTGCAAGTATTTACCTCCTTAAAATTTTCTTAGATTAAGGACCTGCCCGAAACGCTGCGCGTGCTAGTGGCTTTACAAGACTGTAATTACCATAACTGTATCCTCACATTCCTTATGTACATTCTTGTATATGCATAAATAAATAAATAAAATAAATAAATAAATAAATTTGATATCAACATTGACTTTGATCTTTGAATTAATTAGGGTGTAGACTATGTTACAACAGAACAATCAGACACGTGTCACAGACACAATCTGTTACAATCAGACACGTGTCTGCTGTACATGCGTCTGATGTACACACGTCTCATGTACACGTGTCTGCTGTATAATTAGGAGTGTGTAATGTGTTTGTCAGTGTCAGATGTTAGTGCTTGGACCCGCCTCTTAGCGTTTATGGGTGTATTTTCGTTACTGACAACGTGATTTTCCTAAGATTTAAAAGGTAGTTATTTCAGATGTAGTAAACGAGATGAAGTTAGTTCTCGAGTTTCACATCTTTAACAAATATCCCATGAAAATGTAACAAATGTATATGAAACACAGACTGACAAACATGAAAGTCCTGCAGAAAACATATATACAAATGATAAGATGTGTGTAACTTTAATGCATTATTTGATGAAAAACATAAACATAAAAGTGATGAATGAATATGATATTATGATTTGTTTGTAGACTAGTTGCTGTAAATAGACTTCCTATAAATTATTTTAAAGCTATGAGGAAATATATATAAGCAAAGGTTTGGTGGAGGTGTGTTAGGTTAAGATGTGTATAAAATGTTGCATGGATAGTGTACAAGTAAAAATATATGGGATGAAGGTTAGGTTAGGGTTGGTTGGGTTAGGTTAGGGTTGGTTGGGTTAGGTTAGGGTTGGTTGGGTTAGGTTTGGTTGGGTTGGGTTAGGTTAGGATTGGTTGAATTAGGTTAAGGTTGGTTGGGTAAGATAAGGGAAGGATGCTTAAACAACACTTTACCAAGAATATTAGAGATTGGAAGCTGAACTAACACAGAGAATTGGTAATAAGAGTGGAGTAAGTTAAGACAATAAGAGTGGGGGTATGTTAAGACAAGACAGGTGAAATAGTTGAATGTGCGTTTTGTGTAATGTTCTGAAATTAGTATTTGTGTAAGCAGGATAGATTAAAATTGTTGAGTTGGTTGGATGTAAGTTTATGAAATGAATCTATGTGATTTGAATACATGTGTTTCTATGTGTAATTTTGGAAGTTTATGAGTACATGTAATCTGTGTTAGTACATGAATGTATGTAAGTATTTGCGGGTTTGACTAAGTTTATATAATTTGTGTAAGATTGAGAGAATTTCTATGTACAAGAGAGCTTGTTAAAGTTCGAGAAACTGAGTAAGTTAATGAACTGAGTATGTGTGCATGTGCAAGTCTGTGTTTGTTTTTGTATGTTCGTGTTTTGTGTAAGTTTATACATGTTTTTTTTATATAAAGAAGTGTTTGTATAGGAAAATTGGTCAAGAATCAGTGCATTAGATTACCAACGGTTAGAAAGGCGGGGTCCAAGGGCTAACAGCTCGATCGTTTAGTTATAAATAGTAAATACACACACGTACCTCTAACAGGTACATACAATAAATACAATATGAATACAATGTTCCCAATTTATGAACGCCACTACAGAGAGATTGTTGTGGATGCTCTTGTGGTGTGTGAGAGAGGCCCGTGCGTCCAGCTGGTGTCCGGCCTGGCGCACGATGGCGACCCCGCGCTCCCTCCCTCCACACTCTCCACCTGGCTCGCTGGACTCCACTTCCACACCCACACTGATCCACGCGCCATTTCATATGTTCTGGTAAGCTATTTGTCATGTAGTTTAGATGCTATTTGTATCATTGATCATTGTTCTTAATTCCCTGCATGGGTGGTGTGGTATAAACGGGAAAAATAAAAAAATGATATTCTGACACGAGTAACGGAACCGCAGATAATCTGAGGCAGATAGTGGAAAGATTTGCGAGCCCAATAAATATGGAAACAGTGAGGTGAGGAGTAAGTAAAAGGAGAAGGTAATTTCTAAAGAGTGTAAGGTGTAAGGTGAGGAGCAGGTAAGAGAAGGCAATTCCTAGAAGAAGGTAAGTGTAATTTGAAAGGTAAGCATAGGGTGAATTGTAAGAATAGGATGAGTGTAATAATAGGATGAGGTAAGAATAGAATAAGAGGGTAAGAAAAAGAAAAGGGGGTAGGCTTATGTCAGGTCACGTTTGTTATGAAAGTTAGAAAATTTAAGTATGTACTGTCAAAGAGAAAAGTCAACAGTAACAAAGCCAGAACTAAGGTTAATGTTGTGTATCAGAGTCGATTACACAAGACAGTGTCTGTGAAGAGTAGAAGCAGGAAAGATTATTTTAGAAGAAGACCAATCAATGGGAAGAACAGTCCCTAACATGGCAGAAGAGAGCATTGTTTGTGTCTGCAGACTTAACACTTCTTTTGTGTTCCTTAAGTCTGTCATTTAGTGTATGGTAAATTTTTCCAAAGTATGGGAGAGGGCAAGACGAACAGGAAATGGAGTAGACACCAGCAGCATTAGTAGCAGGAGGAGCAATGTGAACCAGATTACTTCGAAGAGTGTTAGTTTGTCGAAAGGCGAACTTTACATCAAGAGGGCGAAATGGAATAGCACTAGTGGGATATTTTAGTTCAGATATGAGGGGGAAGGCAGAACACAGTGGTACTAGTGTTGGAAACGGGTTTGGGATGGAAAAAAACTCGTTTAGCTTGAGAATGGGGACAGATGATAAAATGTAAGGAGTTAACAAGGCGAGAGAGGGAAGGGAACTGCCAGGAAAAGCACCAAGCCATTGCGACTGTAAAGCACTTAGAAGGGGTTAGGATAAGGATTTGAGTTGTGGGAAGCGAGGAAGCAAAGATGCCCGCCCACTTGGACAGATGGGGATTGAACGCCGACCTTCATTGCGCAAGACAGACGCTCTACCGACCAGTCCAGTGGAGAGAAAGACTTGTAAATAAAGGAAATGTCAGAATCAATAATTTGAGGGTCAGTTTTCCGTAGAGCGCGGAAGAAGAGAGAGACGAGAACACTTTTCTGAACAGGAGTATGGTAGGAAAAGAAGTGAATATATATACCACTGTGCATAGGTTTGCTGTAAACAGATAAGGAGAAACAGGGCACAGAGCTGTGAACATGAACGTCAAAAAAGAAGAGACTTAGATTTCCATTCAACTTTGAAATTGTTAAAAGAGCCAGAGGAGAGGAAAGGCTGGAAAAGACTGGCCTCGTGACGATTTCTCGTCAAGAGACTAAAGAGCAAAAATGTCATCAACATAGCAAAGCCAGAGAGAGGGACGAGTACCAGTTGCTGGTAGAATTTAAAACTTTTTCCTTTTAAATTCATACTAATCATAACCCTAGATCATTTTCGCAATCAGACTTTGAGATTTCAATATCATCCAGGAGATATCTTGTAACTCATTACAAGATATCTCCACGCCTTTGCATGTTTAACATGACCACCATAATATTATAGTCTAAAGTCTACATCATTCTCGTCACAATTTCCGCGTCCAGTACTGTGATTTTTGTTCACGTTCATTCCCGTTATTATTTCACTGTAGTTAGGCATTGTATTTGTTTAAGTTAGGCTACTGTAGTTCCTTTTGTTAGGCTACATTAGTTCCTCTGTTAGGCTACTGTAGTTCCTTTTGTTAGGCTACATTAGTTCCTCTGTTAGGCTACTGTAGTTCCTTTTGTTAGGCTACATTAGTTCCTCTGTTAGGCTACTGTACTTCCTCAAAAGATCTCGGTACTTCATATGTAAACTTTTGTAGTTCCTCTATATACCTCTGTACTTTCCCTATAGACGACTGTAATTCCGTTTGCAATGCGTTTGCGTTTGCAAGACCAATGTACTTTCTCTTATAGGCTACCGTTCTTCCTCTGTTAAGCTATTTTACTTCTTACGTTCGCTACTGTCCTTTCTCTATAGGCCACTGTGCTTCATTTGTATATTAATGTATTTTCTATATTACTGTATTTCCTCTATATTACTGTATTTCCTCTATAGGCTACTGTACGTCCTCTGCAGACTACTGAACTTCTTATGTTTGGCTATATTACTTCCTCCGTTAGGCTACTGTACTTCGTCTGTTATGCTTCAGTACTTCCTATGTTTGGCTGGCTACTTTATTTCTTATATAGACTACTGTAATTCCTCTATAGACTATTGTAATTCCTCTGTGGACTACTGTAATTCCCCCTATTGGCTATTGTACATCCTTTGTTAGACTACTGTACTTCCCCTATAGACCATTGTACTTCCTCTATAGACTACTGTATTTCCTCTATAGACTACTGTATTTCCTCTATAGACTACTGTACTTCCTCTATAGACTACTGTACTTCCTCTATAGACTACTGTACTTCCTCTATAGACTACTGTACTTCCTCTATAGACTACTGTTCTTCCTCTATAGACTACTGTTCTTCCTCTATAGACCATTGTATTTCCTCTATAGACTACTGTACTTCCCCTATAGACCATTGTACTTCCTCTATAGACTACTGTACTTCCTCTATAGACTACTGTACTTCCTCTATAGACTACTGTACTTCCTCTATAGACTACTGTACTTCCTCTATAGACTACTGTACTTCCTCTATAGACTACTGTTCTTCCTCTATAGACTACTGTTCTTCCTCTATAGACCATTGTACTTCCTCTATAGACTACTGTATTTCCTCTATAGACTACTGTACTTCCTCTATAGACTACTGTACTTCCTCTATAGACTACTGTACTTCCTCTATAGACTACTGTACTTCCTCTATAGACTACTGTACTTCCTCTATAGACTACTGTACTTCCTCTATAGACTACTGTACTTCCTCTATAGACTACTGTACTTCCTCTATAGACTACTGTACTTCCTCTATAGACTACTGTACTTCCTCTATAGACTACTGTTCTTCCTCTATAGACTACTGTACTTCCTCTATAGACTACTGTACTTCCCCTATAGACCATTGTACTTCCTCTATAGACTACTGTATTTCCTCTATAGACTACTGTATTTCCTCTATAGACTACTGTACTTCCTCTATAGACTACTGTACTTCCTCTATAGACTACTGTACTTCCTCTATAGACTACTGTACTTCCTCTATAGACTACTGTACTTCCTCTATAGACTACTGTTCTTCCTCTATAGACCATTGTATTTCCCTGTATAGACTAATGTACTTCCTCTATAGACCATTGTACTTCCTCTATAGACTACTGTACTTCCTCTATAGACTACTGTACTTTCTCTATAGACTACGGTACTTCCCCTGTAGACTACTGTACTTCCTCTATCGACTACTGTACTTCCTCTATAGAATACTGTATTTCCCTGTATAGATTACTGTACTTCATCTATAGACTACTGTTTTTCCCTGTATACATTACTGTACTTCCTCAATAGACTACTGTAATTCCTTTCAAGACTACTGTACTTCATCTGTAGGCTATTGTATATCCCAGGTTAGGCTACTGTTCTTTCTCCATAGCCTTCTTTTGTGGGCTATTGCATTTCTTCTGTAAGGCTATGAAATTTACGCTGTTATTCTACTGTTTTGCCTCTGTTAGGCTACTATAATTCCCCCTGTAGAGAACTGTATTTCATTTGTATCCTACTATATTTTCTCCGTAAGGCTACTATTTTTCTTCTGTTAGGCTACTGTATTTTCTGTTAGGCTACTGTATTTTCTGTTAGGTTACTGTTTTTTCTATTAGGCTGCTCTATTTTTTTTTCAAAACTAAGTTAATGAAAGTTTATCGCCAGGCCTTGACCTAGCGATCATTCAACATGCTGTGTAATTGGTAACGTTAAAGTGAGTTACATCACGACATTTCTTCACAACAAGAATTACCTTGTCCGTAGGAGGTGGCTGAGAGCCGGGAGGCAGTGGCGGCGGAGGCGGTGATGGCCGTGTCCAGCATGGTGTACAGGGTGTGTCAGCAAGACCCTCATCACTGTCGCCAACACGCACGGTAAGTATAGTGTACAGGGTGTGTCAACAAGATCCTCACCACTGTCGCCAACACGCACGGTAAGTATAGTGTACAGGGTGTGTCAACAAGATCCTCACCACTGTCGTCAACACGCACGGTAAGTATAGTGTACAGGGTGTGTCAGCAAGATCCTCACCACTGTCGCCAACACGCACGGTAAGTATAGTGTACAGGGTGTGTCAACAAGATCCTCACCACTGTCGTCAACACGCACGGTAAGTATAGTGTACAGGGTGTGTCAACAAGATCCTCACCACTGTCGCCAACACGCACGGTAAGTATAGTGTACAGGGTGTGTCAACAAGATCCTCACCACTGTCGTCAACACGCACGGTAAGTATAGTGTACAGGGTGTGTCAACAAGATCCTCACCACTGTCGTCAACACGCACGGTAAGTATAGTGTACAGGGTGTGTCAGCAAGATCCTCACCACTGTCAACAAGCACGGTAAGTAGTGTACAGGGTGTGTCAACAAGATCGTCACCACTGTCAACATGCACAGTAGGTATAGTGTACAGGGTGTGTCAGCAAGACCCTCATCACTGTCGTCAACACGCACGGTAAGTATAGTGTACAGGGTGTGTCAGCAAGATCCTCATTACTGTCAACATGCACAGTAGGTATAGTGTACAGGGTGTGTCAGCAAGATCCTAACCACGTCATACATGGTAAGTAGAGTGTAATGGTAAGTGTGCCAAGTCGCAACCGTTTTGCTTTTCTCGACGGCTGCGTTTGGCACACTCTTTTCCGTCAACCTCTGTGAAGACTTCGATTTAGCCGCTGATTTTTCCCATGGAGATTAAACGGCTCCCTTCCGTCATCACTAAATTTAGTTACCTTGTCAACACATCGGCACAGTCACCCCCCTAATGTTCAATTGCATCATCAACCAGCCAGTCTTCATCTTCCCTCAATAAGACTGTTTTCTGTGATGGCATATTTAATCACATTTTCGATGATATAATATAAATTCCATTTTCAAAGATTATTTCTAGTATATATATATATATATATATATATATATATATATATATATATATATATATATATATATATATATATATATATATATATATATATATTGGTGTATACTGGCAGCAGGTTTTCTTTCAAACATGTTTCATTGAATATGACCGCATATTCTGTATTTATTATTTTCTGGTTTAGGGCTTCTATCCCTCTAACTATTTTCTTAGCATCAGGGCTTAATTGGAATAGGAGTTCTCCAAAACTCATTTTCGTACTTTTAAGGTGAAGAAAAGAAGTGATTTACTATAGAGTGTATTACACTTATTTGTATAATTTGCACGACGTTTCGAACCTCCATGGTTCATTCTCAAGTGAACAGATCTTACAATACTAGTTGATTTTTATACCCGCATTAGGTCAGGTGATAATACAATGAAGGTGAAAAACATGGGGGGATACATAAGGGATAAACATAGGGGCTGCAGAAGGCGTATTGACCCATACGAGGCATCTCCTATCTAAACACAAAGATTAATCCAGTGTAATTGGCCTGTTATGTTGGACATTGTCTTCTGTGTTGGCATCGATATGTTCTTGTCTTGTCCTTACTCTCATGGTGGGTAGAGTAAATAGTTCCGTGATTTGGGTGTTCATGGTAGGTCGCTCTATTCTTATGTGAATTGCCTCAAGAATTTGTAATCTTCTTGAATCTTGGGTTTTGTCTATTATGCAAGTATTCTTGTTCAACATTTCTCTTGTTAGAATAATGTCATGGGCTTGTCTCATGTGATTCCTAGGGGCACCAGATTGAAGATGGCATGTCAAACGCCTCGTCAGCTTGGTCGACGTCATACCTATGTACTTACATTGAAGGTTACATCCTTCGTGGGGGCAAGTGTACATGTATACAACGCTTGACTGCTGTAGAGGGTTCTCCGTCGGCTTCGGGCTGTTTTTGATAAGGAGTTCGGAAGTCTTCTTGGTTTTGTAGAATATTATCAGGTTTATGTTTTGGTTAGGAGTAGTGCTTTTTACTCCTTTACGGATTATTTCTTTCATTATTCTTTCCTCTTTTATATGTTCACTGTGCATGGTTGATTTGTAATATAATTTTATTGGGGGTGTTGTGGTTTCTGTTCTAGGTTCTGAATTATACCAACGGTCCAAGTGTCTTCTTATAGCAGCGTTTATTTCCGCGTTGCTATATCCGTTGTTCACCAATACCTGAGTTACTCTTTCAAACTCTCTACTCACGTTGCTCCATTCAGAGCAGTGGGTAAGCGCTCGACGAATATAAGCATTGAGAACACTGGCTTTGTATCTTTGGGGGCACTCACTTATACCGTTCAGGCATAATCCTAAGTTGTTGGGCTTGGTATATACGTTGGTGCTTAAAGAGGTTCCTGTTTTTGTTATTAGTACATCCAAGAATGGCAGACTGTTATTTTCACTATTTTCATGTGTAAATCGGAGTACTGACTCTCTCTCTAGGTGTCTTTTTAGGTCAATTAGTTCATCTGAGTCTTTTACTATTACGAATATGTCATCTACATATCGGCAGTATACAGTTGGTTTTTGTCTGCTACTGAAGACCCTATCTTCGATGGTTCCCATATAAAAATTAGCAAATAAAACTCCTAAGGGGGAGCCCATTGCTACTCCGTCTATTTGTAAATACATGTCTCCTTGTGGACTGATGAAAGGGGCTTCCTTTGTACATGCTTCGAGAAGACTTTTCAAGTGTGGCTCAGGTATGTCTAATTTGGGGGTGCTCTCGTCTCTGTATACTCTGTCCAGTATCATTCCTATGGTTGTGTCGACTGGGACGTTGGTAAAAAGGGATTCAACGTCCAGGGAAGCGATGATTCCATCGGGCTGGGTAGATTTGATCAATTCTAGGAAATCTGCTGATGATTGTAGACTAAACTTACTTGGAGTGTATGGAGTTAGGAGTTCATTGAGTTTCTTTGCCAGGTGATAAGTTGGGGTTGGTATTTGGCTGATTATAGGGCGTAGTGGGTTACCTGGTTTATGCGTCTTAACATTGCCGTAGGCATATCCTAAGCCATAGTCGCCTTGAAGTTTATTGAAATGCACACTACCTTTCTTTGCGTTGATTGCTGTAATTGTTTTGTTTACTTTCCGCTTAAGGTCTTCTACGGGGTTCCTCGTGATTCGTTGAAATTTGGAGTCGTCACTTAGGATGTCGCTAATTTTGTTCATGTATTCATGGGTAGGAATCAATACATATGCTGCTGTTTTGTCGGCTTTTCTTATTGTTACGTCTTTCAGATTTTTTAGTTGTTTCGCTGCTTCTTTGAGTCGTGGGGTTAAGATTGTAGATGAATATGTTCCTCGTTTTTTCCCTGCTTCTGCAAGTAGTTCAGCTTGAAGTGTGTCCGTGGTGATGACTTTTTTGTTGTCTTCTAGCTTATGGATATCGTCCAGAAGCATTTCGATTTCCAGGCGTTTTTGATGCATCTTTGGTTTAGATAAGAATTGACAATTTAGACCAAGATTTAAGAGGTCTCGTTCATGTATTTAAGAAGAATGAATGGAGCAACGTGAGTAGAGAGTTTGAAAGAGTAACTCAGGTATTGGTGAACAACGGATATAGCAACGCGGAAATAAACGCTGCTATAAGAAGACACTTGGACCGTTGGTATAATTCAGAACCTAGAACAGAAACCACAACACCCCCAATAAAATTATATTACAAATCAACCATGCACAGTGAACATATAAAAGAGGAAAGAATAATGAAAGAAATAATCCGTAAAGGAGTAAAAAGCACTACTCCTAACCAAAACATAAACCTGATAATATTCTACAAAACCAAGAAGACTTCCGAACTCCTTATCAAAAACAGCCCGAAGCCGACGGAGAACCCTCTACAGCAGTCAAGCGTTGTATACATGTACACTTGCCCCCACGAAGGATGTAACCTTCAATGTAAGTACATAGGTATGACGTCGACCAAGCTGACGAGGCGTTTGACATGCCATCTTCAATCTGGTGCCCCTAGGAATCACATGAGACAAGCCCATGACATTATTCTAACAAGAGAAATGTTGAACAAGAATACTTGCATAATAGACAAAACCCAAGATTCAAGAAGATTACAAATTCTTGAGGCAATTCACATAAGAATAGAGCGACCTACCATGAACACCCAAATCACGGAACTATTTACTCTACCCACCATGAGAGTAAGGACAAGACAAGAACATATCGATGCCAACACAGAAGACAATGTCCAACATAACAGGCCAATTACACTGGATTAATCTTTGTGTTTAGATAGGAGATGCCTCGTATGGGCCAATAAGCCTTCTGCAGCCCCTATGTTTATCCCTTATGTATTCCCCCATGTTTTTCACCTTCATTGTATTATCACCTGACCTAATGCGGGTATAAAAATCAACTAGTATTGTAAGATCTGTTCACTTGAGAATGAACCATGGAGGTTCGAAACGTCGTGCAAATTATACAAATAAGTGTAATACACTCTATAGTAAATCACTTCTTTTCTTCACCTTAAAAGTACGAAAATGAGTTTTGGAGAACTCCTATTCCAATTAAGCCCTGATGCTAAGAAAATAGTTAGAGGGATAGAAGCCCTAAACCAGAAAATAATAAATACAGAATATGCGGTCATATTCAATGAAACATATATATATATATATATATATATATATATATATATATATATATATATATATATATATATATTATTAAATATGACCGAAAAAGTAAGATTAATAATTTTAACACGAATTTTCTCGATCTTTCTTACGTTTCTTTTCACTGTTGATGGTAATTCAAAGATCAATTCTCCAAAATTCATTTTTATTTCTAGTCTGACGCGACACTTGAGCGCGTTTCGTAAAACTTATTACATTTTCAAAGACTTTAGTTTGCAAACACACAACTGAAACTGAATAGAGCTTACACATCTTCGATTTTATATCTACATTTGGGTGAGGTGGATGAGGTGAAAACAAACTTTCAACAATGGGTATTTAATTCAAACACAAGACAGAACACGAAACAATGGGTATTGAATGGAAGTAATTGTAGAAAGCCTATTGGTCCATATTTCTTGATGCTTCTATATTGGAGCGGAGTCTTGAAGTGGGTAGAATATAGTTGTGCATTAATTGGCTGTTGATTGCTGGTGTTGACTTCTTGATGTGTAGTGCTTCGCAGATGTCAAGCCGCCTGCTATCGCTGTATCTATCGATTATTTCTGTGTTGTTTGCTAAGATTTCTCTGGCGATGGTCTGGTTGTGGGAAGAGATTATGTTCCTTAATGGAGCCCTGTTGCTTATGCATCGTTAAACGCCTGGAAAGAGATGTTGTTGTCTTGCCTATATACTGTTTTTTTTGAGGCTTACAAAAGAGGCTTTGAGGCTTTTGTTAGAATTATTAATCTTACTTTTTCGGTCATATTTAATAATATATGTCTACAGGAAAGACTGCTACCAAAAATATATATATATATATATATATATATATATATATATATATATATATATATATATATATATATATATATATATTTATATATATATATTACATTTTCAAAGACTAGTTTACACACACACAACTATAACTGAACAGAGTTTAAACAGCTTCGATTTTATACCTGCATTTGGGTGAGGTGATATGTTACAACAGTTTTGGATGAGGTGAAAACAAACTTTCAAAACAAGACAGAACACGAAACAATGGGTATAATATTTTGTAAGTTAAAGGGAAGAATGGAAGTAACTGCAAAGGGCCTATTGGTCCATATTCACCATATATAAATAGAGTACTTATGCAGTCCCCGTGGCGTAGTGGTAAAACACTTGCCTGGCACTTCGCGAGCGCTTAGGCCTAGGTTCGTATCCTGGCCGGTAATGATTGACCGGGCGCCAATCCTTAACTGTAGCCTCTATTTACCCAGCAGTGAATGGGTACCTGGTTGTTAAACGATTTAGCGGGTCGTATTGCAGGGAAAATTAGGATTAAGGACCTGCCCGAAACGCTATGCGTACTATTGGCTGTATACAAGAATGTAAGAACTCTTGTGTATATATATAAATAAAAGAATAAATAAAGTTTCAAATGTATTTAGTGCAGATCTTAGGTTCAGACGACATAAATGATAGGCTACAAACATAGCATAGGCCCAACAAAAATAGGAGTTCATACTCTGAATGTGTTTTCTGAACATGTACACTTTATAGTCTTTCAAATATGATAGAAATTTTTGATAATAATGCGAATAAAACTTCATCTTCACCCCAAAACTGTCTAACACGGCAATTCTCCGTGTTAGACAGTTGGAATTCTCCGCAATTCAAAACCTTCACGGCTCCTGAAGGTTTATTATGTACATATTCAGTCATCCAATGGCCCATCATCGATACAGGTGATTTATCATCTAAAGTATTTAAAATAAATACCACTGGATCATTATTCAATTTCTTAAAGTTTCCCCATATATCGTTCGTAAAATAAATTAATTAAATTAATATTAAATTCCAATGCGATTCTTAAATTCCCTGTAGTTTCAAAGGAAACTGTGGCCTTTATTTCTTCTGGTAATAAATTAAAGGCCAGCAGAGTTTGTCCTTTAACGAACCGTTCGCAGGAGAAAATATTATTTACATTAAATCCTACAGCGTTCAAGACTGTGTAATATATTTTTGAACATTTATGGGGGACTTCACACGCGAAATTAAATAAACTGCAGTAATACCATTGACTGAAATATATACATTACTCAATGCAGAATTATTAAAATATGGGTTTAAGGTATAATCTCCATAAATGGCTTCCAATATCAATAATAGCCATGTATAACTTATCAGGGATCACTCTACCTCAGGATAGCTCCATAGTTAATTATTTATTGCCCTGCCCTAGAATATAGGTTTTAAAAAGGGTTTTATAAAATATATACGTTACTGCTTCATTATTTTTTAATTCAGAAAAATGTTGGGCTAGTGCTCGGTTAATAGCCACTCATCCAGAAGGGAATAGGGTTAATTTATAAACCATAAAAATATAATCTTTATATTATATTTATAGTTCACAATAGCCAATAACCCATTTATGACTAATTTAACTCTAAACGTCATTCTAGGTTATCCGTTAAATATTCGCTAATGAATGTAATATCAAGCAATAATTTAAAGCATGTATCAATACCTTGTTCTTTCATGTTAACAATTTTCGCATCCTGATCTAATATGGTCATAGTAACTTTGTGGACCTCCTCTGTACACTGTGTGCACACGAGAGCAGATTTCCCAGCTTTGGGGAAATCTGTACACTGGGGAAGTACTTGCAGATACTCTGGGATGTGTCTCTTGGTGATGTTTGGGGACTGAGAGATCAATTTCTCGCAAATATGATATGTCTGACAGCAAAGACATACTGTTGTATGATTGTAAACATTTTGATATAAGGAACGAGCTGAGAAGCACTCTTTATATATATATATATATATATATATATATATATATATATATATATATATATATATATATATATATATATATATATATATAAATATATATTTATATATATATATGTATATATGTCAGTGTCAGACCATGGAGGAAAATTGAAACAGGAATTTCCTTAAGAACCTGTATGTTATACAGGTACTTAAGGAAATACTTAAGTACCTTAAGTATTTCCTTAAGCAACTTTCCTTAAGTTTCAATTTTCCTCCGTGGTCTGACACTCACATTTTTAGTCACTTGTTTATTTTTCGTGATTTACACACACACACACACATCTATATATATATATATATATATATATATATATATATATATATATATATATATATATATATATATATAATATAAATTTACATAAATATAATAATATTATAAATAAATAATAATATAAATGATATAAAAGATCATTCTGGCATATATATATATATATATATATATTATTTGCTATACTACTTATACCTGCACAGTGATCAGAGTCTTAGTGTGCTGTTACTACGTTTCAGACCATTCTTAGAATACGTGAGAAATGAAGTTGGTGACTCTTGTGGGCGGAGAGACTCGGACGACCGACACCAGAATGTCAAACTGATGCTTAGAGCTCTTGGCAATGCTGGAATACAACCTGACAAGCACTTCTCAGAGAAGTGCTACATGGTAAGTGCTATAAGAAGCGCTGTAGCTGTTGTTATGTTCACAGCCCCGCTACTGTGCCAGATAAGTCCTCTACGGGCTCACCATAGCCCGTGTTACCTGGAACTTTTTGTTTCCAGTAGCTGAATCTATAACAACAACGTTGTTATGTTACCATATACTTGACGCTCGTGACAGGTTTAGTGTGTTGGATTCTTTATTGGTTCATAATTTACTGGTTCGCTTATCCCAACAGGGCTCGGCAAGTGCTATCTGTGCCCGACTTTCTTGGACTTATTGGGCCCTTGGTACATACTGATAACTATATTTGGCCACCAGTTACGTAATAAATATAAGACTTGAAACTTTTCCCCGGTAACTTTTGAAACTTCAAAGATTACTAACTCCATTTACCAAAAAAATAAAAAGGTATTAAGTTAGGTAATTAAGTTTAACTAAAATTGTGGAATAATATATTATCACGTTATGTAGAGAGATGAGAGCCAGGGTCGCTTTTTATATGGCAGTGTATGTTTTAGGGTCAAGTTGGCAACCGTAACCGGTAGCCAGCAAGGTGAAGGCGAGAGAGTTGCACAACATATTAAATCCTTTAATGCAAGCTGAAGTATGTTTACTTTAAATTCATGATGGTAGAAGTGCTCTTCACAAGGTCACACCTGGCCTTGTCTCACAAGGTCACACCTGGCCTTGCCTCACAAGGTCACACCTGGCCTTGTCTCACAAGGTCACACCTGGTCTTGTCTCACAAGGTCACACCTGGCCTTGCCTCACAAGGTCACACATGGCCTTGCCTCACAAGGTCACACCTGGTCTTGTCTCACAAGGTCACACCTGGCCTTGCCTCACAAGGTCACACCTGGTCTTGTCTCACAAGGTCACACCTGGCCTTGCCTCACAAGGTCACACCTGGCCTTGCCTCACAAGGTCACACCTGGTCTTGTCTCACAAGGTCACACACCTGGCCTTGCCTCACAAGGTCACACCTGGCCACACCTGGCCTTGTCTCACAAGGTCACACCTGGCCTTGCCTCACAAGGTCACACCTGGCCTTGCCTCACAAGGTCATGTAAATAGAGTTGCTGTCTCCCACACTTGGGGTAGGTGGTTAGAAGTTCCCAGGGCCCAAGTGAATAAAATGTTATTACCCATATTTATTGTGATTAAAAATATATATATATATATATATATATATATATATATATATATATATATATATATATATATATATATATATATATATATGTCGTACCTAGTAGCCAGAACGCACTTCTCAGCCTACTATGCAAGGCCCGATTTGCCTAATAAGCCAAGTTTCCCTGAATTAATATATTTTCTCTAATTTTTTTCTTATGAAATGATAAAGCTACCCATTTCATTATAAATGAGGTCAATTTTTTTTTATTGGAGTTAAAATTAACGTAGATATATGACCGAACCTAACCAACCCTACCTAACCTAACCTAACCTATCTTTATAGGTTAGGTTAGGTTAGGTAGCCGAAAAAGTTAGGTTACGTTAGGTTAGGTAAGTTAGGTAGTCGAAAAACAATTAATTCATAAAAACTTGGCTTATTAGGCAAATCGGGCCTTGCATAGTAGGCTGAGAAGTGCGTTCTGGCTACTAGGTACGACATATATATATATATATATATATATATATATATATATATATATATATATATATATATATATATATATATATATATATATATATATATATATATATGTGTGTGTGTATGTATATAATCACATCATAATTATTTGCTAAAATTAATGTAATTTCATCTACAACAGAATCGAGGATTGCCGCGTGAAGTGCGCATAGCGGCCTTGGAGACCTCGCGGCGTGGCGGCTGTCTCCCTCTCAAGTCCCCCTGGAAGGTAAAACAGGACACGAGTTTCCCTTAATGGTAACACAGGTCACTAGTCCCACTTACTGTATGGCAATAAGACCATAAATCCCCTATAGACGGAAAGAGACACCATAAGTCCTTTTAGATAGTAAGACAGACTGTCCCTTTATACGGTAAAACTAAGTACCCTTCGACAATAAGACGGGCAACCAGTCCCAGGGGACGATAAGACAAACCACTGATCTCCTTGAATGGTAAGACAACCCAATGGTCTCCCTAGATTGTAAGACAAGCCACTTGTCTCCCTGGATGGTAAGACAACCCAATGGTCTCCCTAGATTGTAAGACAAGCCACTTGTCTCCCTAGATTGTAAGACAAGCCACTTGTCTCCCTGGATGGTAAGACAACCCAATGGTCTCCCTAGATTGTAAGACAAGCCACTTGTCTCCCTGGATGGTAAGACAGTCCCTTATAATGGTAAAACAACTAAAATTAACAGCTACACAGGCATTGAGTTCCCAAGCACTGTAGAAAACACAGAGGACACAGGACAGAAGATGAGTGGAATAGATGTAAAGAAACAACCGAAGTTACTACATAGCAATATTGCAAAGTAAAATGACAGTGAATAACCAAGTGACTAGATTATGCAAGAAGGGAAAAGAACACACAGAAAAACACCAACAAAAATGAGGATTGAGGATTCTCTCCACACTTCCTCGGGAACTCATTTTTGGATTCAGCTGATTTCCTTGGGCCTGAGTGTGCTGGTAGCAGTCATCCAGGGAGCGCTCTCAGTATCGGTGAAAGCCGAAGCCTCCTTTATGGACGCCTCCTAAGGCAGGGATGCCATGGACCGTGATAGCTTGTTCCACAATAGGCGATCGTCTCTTGAAGAATGAGCCAGCAACCGATGCCCCAGAGCGAGATGCTAAGAGGATGTCTTCGCCTACAGAGGGTCTTCCTCCTGAGGTGCCTTTTTCCTCATTAATGGTTGTCCTAATCCAGTTGGCAACAGGTCAGTGTGTATTTATGAATCCTCATACTTTAAGTGCTGTGATTGAGACTTCAGTTTTGTGGTCACATTGCCTGCCTGATACTGTGCGAACTTTGGGTAGGGGTGCAGCTCCGAAGCTGCATATCAGGATGCAGGCTCCATCACATGTCTGGCTGTCGGAATTAACCACACTGGAAAACTGGCCTGTCAGGTGTCAACAGGTGTTGTCCCAGGAAGAGGAGTCTAGGGCTTCGTTTGGGAAGATCGGACCAATTGATCCAAGTGTTGAAGTGGATGACATTAAAACTGCTCTGCATGTGTTAAGAGGTGCATCAGTGGGACTATTGGAAGTTGCTAGGACGTCCATGGTGCTTGTGAAGTTTCACGGGCCCCTCCTTGACTGGGTGGCACCATACAGGACCCCGTTTCAAACCCTATAATTTTCCTGTGTTACAATACTTTGCACCCATCTCTTGGCTCATAGTCTACTCACGTGCCATAATGCAGCTCGCTGCCCAAACTGCAACAGCACAGGTCATAAGGATCGGTACAATGGTGGGTTCTCTGCCACTTCTCAGTCTTTTGTTCCACAGCCCTCACGAGGCCACATCCAAGAGTTGCCTGTTATACCTTAAGGCTCTCCAGTTGGATATAGACCATAAAATCTACATGCCTTCAATCACCATACCGTATCTTCTCAACTCCTGGCTCCTTCAGGTCGGGTCACTCCACAGGTAGGGTCTGGTAGACGCCTAGCCTGTCCCAGCTGAATGCATTATACACAGAGGATTCTAATCGATTTTCCTACCTGTCTCACCACCACATCGATGAGAACTCTACCACAGATTCAGTCATGGACACTCAGTCCTGGCTGGACCTTGGCACTCGTCACCTTCCCGCCTCTCCTCAGAGGAGCTAGCACCGATGTCGTCGTTACACATATCGATCGGTAGGTTCAGCTCCATCAGATATGCTCTGGCTCCCCAAGTGCCTTCCCAGGGAATTAAGTCATCACTGGAACTCATGGCCTGGCATGCTGCACCTGTTGTTCACAGGCTGTGGCAGGAGGGTTCACAAGCTGATCAAAGTTTCCAAGGGAAGCTCCACTCAACAGCCCTTAGATTGGCTGTCATTGATACCCCGCATATATATATAATCATAATGGATTGGCACTGTAATGATAGTTCCTGCATTTTACTTACTTTGTGTGAAGGTTTTATTGCATTTTCTAGTTTTTTTTCTTTGGAGACGTCTGTGACACCTGTGGTCAGAAAGGTAGTTGCTGTAATTCAGGGATATGGTGCCCAATTCTGAGAATACTGCGGTGTTTTGGAATTTTTGTTCCCCTTTTAAGAAGACGCAATTCCTTCTAAATTTTCTCCCCAGCTCACCACCATTGGTCGTGGGACTCTGTGAAAAATGGCTCTCTGGCAATCTTTCCTTCACTGTGGTGGGGGTATATGGTCTACAGACAGGATCGAGCTATGCAGGATGGAAAGTGTCTTGTCCTCTTGGTCAAGGACTCAGTTCCAGTTCGTTGCTCTGGCTGCACATCTTTCCATCTGGAGTTCATGGCAGTGAAGGTGGCCCTCTTCCATCAGAGGGGCACTTTAGAGTTCTTTATAACCCTTGCCTACCAGTAACTGTAAGGAAGATTGCCCACTATTTTGGCAAGATCTCAGACACCTGCCTCATCATAGGTAACTTTAATGCTGGCACTTATCATGGCAACCAATGCTACCGAGTCGCTTCCACAACACGGCCGGCTGGGCCTTGTCTCAATTTCTCCTCGACTTCCCAGACTTCTCCTTACTGATGCCACCAGGTTTGGGAACTCGGACAGACCCTTTCAATATGCGTACTTCCATATTTTATTGCATCAGGAGAAGCCCCTTTACGATGGTACAGATATTGACTGCCGTATCTAGGAATTGATCACATTCCTCCATTTGCTTTGGAGGAACTGTTTGTCCTGCTCTGACCACGTGGAGATCCAGATGGGTCTTCTTGGAGAACAGGTGGCTTGGCTATGAGGCAGATGACTGGTCGACCCTTCCTCCAGTTGCGGCGGATTTGCATGCGTTGGTGGATGCTTTCTCTGAGTCCCTCTTCGGTATGGGCTCTTGACATCTTTAAGAAGACTAGTGGCCATGTAACACCCCTCTATTGTACCACCACCCTAAAATGTACCACTATAATGGAACACCACTATAATGGAACACTAAACTATCCTGAGTAACACTTCCTCATCGGTTGCACTTGATAACCCTGTTATGAGCTGACATATGATGGTTACACCGGAACCAAAGGTACACTGCCAATAAGGAAATGCTAACACAAAGATTAAATACGCTGCCACCATCTGCCTTTGACCATTGAAACTATATCAAGCAACGAGGCAAGAAACATTGCTTGACTTGGAGAGTACTTCTATGACTGTCATTAATTATGAAAACGGTTGTCAGCCACTATATCCAAAAGGCTAAGAGGATTCAACAATTGACACAGACGGGAAATTTCACGTAAGTTTATTGAGACCAAAATTATGTCAATCACCAATTATAAATCCTACCCTAACACTGGCAAAAAGTTAAGAAATTTGGACATGGAACAAAAACTCAGAGATCACACACATTACCTTAAGCTATCTGTCTCTCCCTGGCTGAGATGTTCTTCACAGCCCCGCTCTCGATCCCGGTGTACCGCCCTCTCCCTCCTATGTTCCTACAGGCCCTCTATATACAACCCCCACAGGGGGGAGGGGGAGATCTGCTGTTGCTACCCACCAAAAGTGTACAAACACTCAAGAAATATTTCAAAAAGCTTGTTTGACATTCACCATACACTCTTCAAGAGAGGAGTTATTAATTACGTGTGTGACTGACCTCTGACCTGGCCAAAAGGGGGAGATCCAGGGATGTTTACACATAAGAATCTGGAGTCTAATTTCCTTGCATGAAATATTACATACTTGAAACTATGCTTACTAAGACTAACCCAGGAATTTTTAATCAATATACAAGATAAACCGGAGGTCATCTGGGCTGACCTCTTGGAGAAGGCTTCCCTGGGTGTGAACTCTAAGGGGGGGGGAGGTCCTGGGTGTAAACAATTCTAGACCGGCGCTGTGCATGGAATTCATGGCATCGCCACCCCACTCCACTGCAGTAGCAGACTTCCTGCAGGGCGGATGTCAAGTGTTGGCGAGTAGTCCTTCTTGCCAAATGCAAGGCCTGGGCTAATTATTGTGCCTCTCTCCGATTCGAGTCCTACTCCTACAGGAGCCCAGGCATTCACCTGATCTCAGGCAGCTAATTCCTCAAGATGCCTGTGAGCTACTCCTGGCCTTCCATCCCTCTCCAAGACCCCAGTAATAATGCGAACCTGGAGAAGGTACAGACAGCTAAGCTTTTAGTGACCACTTTCAAGAGGTTTTCTGTTCTCCACTCATCCCCTGCAGGTTCTGCAGGTTGGGGCACTCGACAGGGTAAGGCCTAGCTTGGGATCCTGATCGTCCATTTACATCTGGAGAGCTCGAGGAGGCCCTGTCACTCCAGAACAGGTATAGTGCTGGGGATAGGCAGCATCCCATATGAATTAATTTGGAGGGCGCCTGTGGTCTTGCTTTTCCACCTGCTTCACTTCTATAATGTCTACTGTCCTCTGGTGTCTTCCCTAACCCATGAAAATGTGCCATTCTTCTCTCATGTCCAAATAATGGACACTTATCGCCAAAGGAGGTGCTTGGTGCAGCATTCTTCGACATCAAGAGTGTATTTGACTCTACTTCCCATTCGGCTGTCCTTCAGGGCTTGGCTCAACTAGGACTCTTGGCTTCAGTGATGGGGATGGTTTCAGAACTATCTGCAAGGCCGTTTATTCAGAGTGGCGGTAGGTGGTGTCGTTTCAACGTCCTGCCCTGTCTCTCGTGGTATTCCCCAGAGAGCGATCTTCAGCCTGCTTTCATTCTCCAATCTTATGTCTGATCTCCCAGTCTTCTGTGGTGCCCATGTTTTTGCACATGCCAAAGTAACCCTTGTGGCAGATGGTGCTACTCTCCTGGAGGTGCAAGGTTCGCTGAAAGATGCAGTGACCATATTCTCTGCCAGTGTGATGAAGAAGGGACTCTCCATCAACCTGGAGAAGAGTTGCATCATGTGTGGGTCGCAACTCTTCTCCGAGTTGATGGATAGTCCAGCCAGTTGAGACCGCCAGAAGTGATTGTCTCCTGGTCGCCACAGATCACAGGTGGCTGGGAATGGTCCTCAGTGGCCCGTGGGTGACATGTGCCTTACCGTCTGGCCTTATTCCAATGTTGCGCCAACATCATGAAGTGGCTCTTCAGGGTGGTATGTGGGACTTCGTCGGAGTCACGCCTAACCCTCTATAAGGCCTTCATTCATAGCAAGATCATGTATGCAAGTGAAGTCTATGGCTCAGCAGCTTTATCAGTCTTGGAACGACTGGATCCTGTCCAAAATGGTGCCCTCTGCTCCAAATGCTAGGCTGGAGTGAACGAAGGATTTCTTAAGGAAGACGTCTATTATGACATCCTTCGCCATACCTTCTGCTTCACAGGACACATCCGTGGCCTGAAGAGGCTGTAGGGATCCCATCCCTCTTCGCTATTTCCCGGTGAAACCAGGGCGCATACGATCCCGTGATCGACTTCGACTCTCAGTCCACAATAACAACAAATGTGTGAGAAAATAATTGCCAGTTTTTATGTAGTTTTCAATGAGGGAGAAGATCACATTGTTAGGAGAGGAGGTAACCCTTGAAGAGTGACTGATAAATATAGAGGTAACTTCAGAGTAAGTAATGAAACAACTTGCATCACAAAATTATTTTGAACCTATTGGACCAGTCAGTACTCACCTAATTGTGTCAGTGTGAACCTATTGAACCTATTGGACCAGTCAGTACTCACCTAATTGTGTCAGTGTGTCACCTTGGTTGTTGAAAGAAGTGCAGAGACCTGCAGTCCTATTCTAATTCCAGCAATTCTAACTTTATTCTAACGTCCTTAACAAAATCTAAATGCTCGTTAAGCCAGCTTCCAACGCCTATTTATGCAAGAAAAACAGTTTACACACCTACAACTGATGACGTATATACTTGAGGAGTGCGTCGCAGCAACCCATCCTCTGCTCGAATTAGAAGTCAGTAAATGCTTCATCAATGTACTATAAACACAAATAATCCCCAACAGAATATAAATTCCTAACCTGTGTTCAATACACATGTGGAAGGGAAGAAGTAGTATGGGGTGAAGGGAAGGGTGGAAGGAATATTGGGGCAATCAAACATAGAATAAGAAATAGGGAAATAAGGTAAGTAAGGGAACATTGTCCCAGTAGTACTGTTTGGTTCTCTTTCTCGACTCACACACGAGAATTCTGAGTTCGAATCCCGAGCGGAAAAGAAATAGTTGAGGCCGTTTCTTATCACATAATGCATCTGTTCACCTAGCAGTAAATAAGGACCAAGGAATTAGTCAGCTTGTTGTTGGGTTGCACCCTAGGCAGGCTTACTTCATCACCCACCAGATGGAAGAGTAATAATTCTTAATTAATTATATTATAATAATAATAATTATAATAATAATTTTTGTAATTAATAATTAATACTCTTCCTTCTGCTGGGTCATGAAAGAAGCCGCCCTCGGGTGAAAGAGGGCTGTGACGATCTCTGTCTGGAACCAGTAGGTGTAGGGCTCGGTCGTCCACCTCCTGGGACGACCGAGGCCTACTGGCCCAGGCTCTGCTTCAGGAGGCTGGGGTCGTAAATACCCTTGCTGGGGTGGTTCTTCTCCGGGTTTGGAGTCCCTGTACCTCATTTTATCAACTTCGAGGTTAACTCCGGAACTGGAGCCCCCTAGGACAGTTGTTGCCGTCAACCTCTTTCTGGCAGTTCCTGCAACGGCGCTGGGACCAATCTTATTGGTGTTGGCCTTTCCATTGGAGACTTTCGGCGCCGTGGAGAGGGGGATACTCCATAATCTCCTGAGACAGTTGGACGCCTACTACTGTTGGGTTGCATCCTGGGGAGGGTCAATAATTCGACCCAGACCTCGATATAAGCCTAACATGTATGTATAAACTGGCTGCCTGTCCCCCCGACACAGTGAATATGGGGAAAGGGCCAATCATGCATAGGGTAAGGCATTGCGTAGAACTTTAGTATTCTCGGTTAGCTGGGAGAATTCGGTAGAGTCGTCGTCGTTATCCGGTGATGTTGTCCCGCGACAACTACTGGTTCTGATTTATGTTAATGATCTCTCCGAGGGAGTGAGCTCGTACATGTCACTACTTGTAAACGATGCTAAGATTATGAGGAATATAAAAACAGAAAACCGTGACAAACTCTAGGAGTGGAAACAAGTGGTTGTTGGAGTTTAGTCCTAATAAGTGTAAAATAATGAAGATGGGGAAGGGAAAAAAGGACCAGAAGGTGTCTACACTATAAATGGAAGGCAACTACAGCAATAAGAGAGGTAAAGAGAGAAATTTGAGAGTGGATATTATTCCACCTCTAACACCAGAGGCACACACAGGCAGCGTGACAACGGCAGCATATGTGATGCTGACACACATTTGAACGTCGTTTAGAAGCCTAAATCAGAACGCTTTCAAGGCAACCTGCGCAGATTTTGTTAGACCAGTACTGGAATATTCAGCACCGGCCTTTTGTTAGACCAGTACTGGAATATTCAGCACTGGCCTTTTGTTAGACCAGTACTGGAATATTCAGCACTGGCCTTTTGTTAGACCAGTACTGGAATATTCAGCACTGGCCTTTTGTTAGACCAGTACTGGAATATTCAGCACTGGCCTTTTGTTAGACCAGTACTGGAATATTCAGCACCGGCCTTTTGTTAGACCAGTACTGGAATATTCAGCACTGGCCTTTTGTTAGACCAGTACTGGAATATTCAGCACCGGCCTTTTGTTAGACCAGTACTGGAATATTCAGCACCGGCCTTTTGTTAGACCAGTACTGGAATATTCAGCACTGGCCTTTTGTTAGACCAGTACTGGAATATTCAGCACCGGCCTTTTGTTAGACCAGTACTGGAATATTCAGCACCGGCCTTTTGTTAGACCAGTACTGGAATATTCAGCACCGGCCTAAAATCCATACCGTATGAAACATAAAATTAAAATTGAAAAGTGCAGAGATTTGCACCTATATTAGTGCCAGAGCTCAGAGGGTTAACCTGTGAGAAGAGGCTGAAGGAACTGGACCTCGCAACCATGGAGACCAGAAGAAATAGAGGAGCTATGATAACATAAAAGATACTGAGTGGAATACCCAAGGTGGACAATAACAGCCTCTTCAAGTTGAGAAAATGTATGACAAGAGGACACAATTGGAAACTGGATATACAAACTAGTCAAATAAATGCAAGAAAATACTTGTGCATTCCATTTGATCACCCTGCATGGGTGATCAAATGGAATGGACTAGAAGAAGAAGTTGTGGAAGTCATCTCCATCCATAACTTTAAGGGCAGGTTCAACAAAGATTGTTTCCGTTAGAATAGGTAATAACGCAATAGGAACAACAAGGCTAGTGGGACAGGGCATAAAGAGCTAGCCCTCACTTTCCCGTAGTCACTGATAAGTAAATACCAATAAGTGAGCGGAGATAGAGAAAGAAACAGAATGTAGAGTAGATATTGCTTCATATAAATTCCGACGTTTGCATTATCAATATTATCCTTAGATTCTGGAGGACGCTGAGGAGAAGATTGATGTGAGAATCGCAGCTTACCTCTCACTAGTTCCTTGCGCTACCAACTACCCAGGCTTCTTCAGTCGGATTCAGACTCTCTTGGAAAAAGAGGATGTAAATCAAGGTAAGTAAACGTAAATGGGAATTACTAATTATTATATCAGAGTTAATACCAAAGAATTGGGCTTGCTTGAGAGATCGTTAAACTGTTGAATTATTTAAGCTGGAATTCGATTGTTGTGTCGGTCTCTGGAGGATCTTTGCAGTTTTTAATAGCTGGCCTTAAGTATCGTCTCGCCCTTACAATTCTTATTCTTAAAGAACTAAATATTCTTGAAGCGTTGAAACACTTGCCATACAATGTCACATACCGCATTATTATACTACACATGTTAACCGGAAGCTGGAGGTTTGTTGAACACGAATGCATACTTTTAATATTAATATTCTGATGCTGGCCAAGCTCATGTAATGTTTGCTCCATTCAGACTGTCGTCCAGCTTATAAGCTCTGAGTGTTGATGAACACGTTCACGTGAAGGCATTGAATTGTTATTCGCTGATAAGGCTAAACTATTTAACACGGAAATAAATATACCTCCCTCCCCGTTCACAATTATCAACTTCATAATTGTTGACCAAACCACACACTAGAAAATGAAGAGACGACGACGTTTCTGTCCATCCTGGACCATCATCAAGTCAACATGACGATGGTCCAGGATGGACCATCATCAAGTCAACATGATGATGGTCCAGGATGGACCATCATCAAGTCAACATGATGATGGTCCAGGACGGACCATCATCAAGTCAACATGATGATGGTCCAGGACGGACCGAAACGTCGTCGTCTCTTCATTTTCTGGTGTGTGGTTTGGTTAACATTTTTCAGCCACGTTATTGTGACTCTTCATCTGCGACTTCATAATTCTTTCGCTAGTAATTAATATATGTAAGATTGAGGTCGTGCCTGCTTAATGATTGCATCTGTTTTCTAATGACAGCCATAAATTTGTACCATAATTCATATAGTTCATTCATCATTACAATAGTAATGTCTCAACACACACTTCTCCAGGTTCCTCCTCAGCAATCCTCACATCATGTATTTCACAGAAGTATTAAATAAGTTTTTTTGCAGGAGAAAACAGCCTTTCCTACAATTAAGCTTAATCTGCATCATTACTGTTAAACTGTTCATCTATACTAGATGAACACTACTACACTACACTACTATATTCATCATTATGCCCAAAACGCTTTGCGTAATAGAGGCTTTAGGCATTGTATGTACTAGCTATACCTATAAGTCAAACAATCCTTGTAAATATTTATTGTATGTATGTACCTTACCTAAATAAAATTGTATTGTATTGTATTGTATTGTATTGTATTGTATTGTATACTCATTCCGCGCCACATAGGCTTAACAATCTAAAGATTTTAAATTAAAATCTCCCATCACCAACAACCTGACACCATCTTCATGCATATTGTGTATTATCTGGTTCATTAATGTCACTAACGTTTCTTTTGCCGACCTTCACCAACAGTTGGGTCGTACATCTGGACTCACATGTGTAACTTGGCGGAGCAGCCGGGCATCAGCCAACACAGCCGCCAGCTGACTAAACTGGTGGCTCAGCACTCCCTTCAGGACAAGTTCAACACCAACCCTCTCCGCTCCTCCCGCAACTATCGCTATGCTCACTATAGCCAGATGGTGAGTCTTCCTCACTACTCTTAAGTGTGTTTGGCTTCCTTAACGACCTCTTGTATCTTTTTAGTAGTACTAAAGATAGTACGACCTCTTATCTTTTTTATTTTTATTACTTTCCTCAAGAATTTTTTTATGAGCAATTAGTATCATGTATAGAAATAGACTAAGTTATTATATATATATATATATATATATATATATATATATATATATATATATATATATATATATATATATATATATATATATATATATATATATATATATATATATATTCCTGTTTCAATTCTTCCTCCGTGGTCTGACACTGTCACATTTTTCATCACGTGTTAATTTTCGTGATTTACACACACACACATATACATATATATATATATATATATATATATATATATATATATATATATATATATATATATATATATATATATATATATGAACAAGCCTGAATGGTCCCCAGGACATATGCAACTGAAAACTCACACCCCAGAAGTGACTCGAACCCATACTCCCAGAAGCAACGCATCTGGTATGTACAAGACGCCTTAATCCACTTGACCATCACGACCGGACATAATGAGGTGATAGCCGAGGCTATTTGAACCACCCCACCGCCGGCACTCGGATAGTTATCTTGGGCATAGCATTTTACCAAATCACCTCATTCTTTGGGGCAACACGTGAGGAACACAAATGCGAACAAGCCTGAATGGTCCCCAGGACATATGCAACTGAAAACTCACACCCCAGAAGTGACTCGAACCCATACTCCCAGAAGCAACGCATCTGGTATGTACAAGACGCCTTAATCCACTTGACCATCACGACCGGACATAATGAGGTGATAGCCGAGGCTATTTGAACCACCCCACCGCCGGCACTCGGATAGTTATCTTGGGCATAGCATTTTACCAAATCACCTCATTCTTTGGGGCAACACGTGAGGAACACAAATGCGAACAAGCCTGAATGGTCCCCAGGACATATGCAACTGAAAACTCACACCCCAGAAGTGACTCGAACCCATACTCCCAGAAGCAACGCATCTGGTATGTACAAGACGCCTTAATCCACTTGACCATCACGACCGGACATAATGAGGTGATAGCCGAGGCTATTTGAACCACCCCACCGCCGGCACTCGGATAGTTATCTTGGGCATAGCATTTTACCAAATCACCTCATTCTTTGGGGCAACACGTGAGGAACACAAATGCGAACAAGCCTGAATGGTCCCCAGGACATATGAGTGCCGGCGGTGGGGTGGTTCAAATAGCCTCGGCTATCACCTCATTATGTCCGGTCGTGATGGTCAAGTGGATTAAGGCGTCTTGTACATACCAGATGCGTTGCTTCTGGGAGTATGGGTTCGAGTCACTTCTGGGGTGTGAGTTTTCAGTTGCATATGTCCTGGGGACCATTCAGGCTTGTTCGCATTTGTGTTCCTCACGTGTTGCCCCAAAGAATGAGGTGATTTGGTAAAATGCTATGCCCAAGATAACTATCCGAGTGCCGGCGGTGGGGTGGTTCAAATAGCCTCGGCTATCACCTCATTATGTCCGGTCGTGATGGTCAAGTGGATTAAGGCGTCTTGTACATACCAGATGCGTTGCTTCTGGGAGTATGGGTTCGAGTCACTTCTGGGGTGTGAGTTTTCAGTTGCATATGTCCTGGGGACCATTCAGGCTTGTTCGCATTTGTGTTCCTCACGTGTTGCCCCAAAGAATGAGGTGATTTGGTAAAATGCTATGCCCAAGATAACTATCCGAGTGCCGGCGGTGGGGTGGTTCAAATAGCCTCGGCTATCACCTCATTATGTCCGGTCGTGATGGTCAAGTGGATTAAGGCGTCTTGTACATACCAGATGCGTTGCTTCTGGGAGTATGGGTTCGAGTCACTTCTGGGGTGTGAGTTTTCAGTTGCATATGTCCTGGGGACCATTCAGGCTTGTTCGCATTTGTGTTCCTCACGTGTTGCCCCAAAGAATGAGGTGATTTGGTAAAATGCTATGCCCAAGATAACTATCCGAGTGCCGGCGGTGGGGTGGTTCAAATAGCCTCGGCTATCACCTCATTATGTCCGGTCGTGATGGTCAAGTGGATTAAGGCGTCTTGTACATACCAGATGCGTTGCTTCTGGGAGTATGGGTTCGAGTCACTTCTGGGGTGTGAGTTTTCAGTTGCATATGTCCTGGGGACCATTCAGGCTTGTTCGCATTTGTGTTCCTCACGTGTTGCCCCAAAGAATGAGGTGATTTGGTAAAATGCTATGCCCAAGATAACTATCCGAGTGCCGGCGGTGGGGTGGTTCAAATAGCCTCGGCTATCACCTCATTATGTCCGGTCGTGATGGTCAAGTGGATTAAGGCGTCTTGTACATACCAGATGCGTTGCTTCTGGGAGTATGGGTTCGAGTCACTTCTGGGGTGTGAGTTTTCAGATATATATATATATATATATATATATATATATATATATATATATATATATATATATATATATATATATATATATGTCGTACCTAGTAGCCAGAACGCACTTTTTGGCCTACTATGCAAGGCCCGATTTGCCTAATATGCCAAGTTTTCCTGAATTAATATATTTTCTCTAATTTTTTTCTTATGAAATGATAAAGCTACCCATTTCATTATGTATGAGGTCAATTTTTTTTTATTGGAGTTAAAATTAATGTAGATATATGACCGAACCTAACCAACCCTACCTAACCTAACCTAACCTATCTTTATAGGTTAGGTTGGGTTAGGTAGCCGAAAAAGTTAGGTTAGGTTAGGTTAGGTAGGTTAGGTAGTCGAAAAACAATTAATTCATGAAAACTTGGCTTATTAGGCAAATCAGGCCTTGCGTAGTAGGCTGAGAAGGGCGTTCTGGCTACTAGGTACGACATATATATATATATATATATATATATATATATATATATATATATATATGTCGTACCTAGTAGCCAGAACGCACTTCTCAGCCTACTATGCAAGGCCCGATTTGCTTAATAAGCCAGGTTTTCATGAATTAATTGTTTTTCGACAACCTAACCTACCTAACCTAACCTAACCTAACTTTTTCGGCTACCTAACCTAACCTAACCTATAAAGATAGGTTAGGTTAGGTTAGGTAGGGTTAGTTAGGTTCGGTCATATATCTACGTTAATTTTAACTCCAATAAAAAAAATTGACCTCATACATAATGAAATGGGTAGCTTTATCATTTCATAAGAAAAAAAATATAGAGAAAATATGTTAATTCAGGAAAACTTGGCTTATTAGGCAAATTGGGCCTTGCATAGTAGGCCGAGATGTGAGTTCTGGCTACTAGGTACGACATATATATATATATATATATATATATATATATATATATATATATATATATATATATATATATATATATATATATATATGACAATGTCAGACCACGGAGGAAAATGAAATAGGAAACAGGATTGTAGAAAGCTTTCTACAATCACTTCTATTCAATACCCATTGTTTCATGTTCTGGCTTGTGTTGATGAAATTAATACCTTATTAAATACCACCTCACCCCATCCACCTCACTCAAATGTAGATATAAACAAAATCGGAGATGTTCTATTCTATTCAGTAAGTTCTATTCAGTTGTGTATATGTTAACTAAAGTCTTTGAAAATGTAATAAGTTTTACGAAATGCGCTCAAGTGTCGCGTCAGACTAGAAATAAAAATGAATTTTGGAGAATTGATTTTTGAATTACCTCCAACAGTGAAAAGAAATGTACAAAAGATTGAGAAAATTCGTGTTAGAATTATTAATCTTACTTTTTCGGTCATATTTAATAATATATGTCTACAGGAAAGACTGCTACCAAAATATACTAATATATATATATACATATTTATATATATATATATATATATATATATATATATATATATATATATATATATATATATATATATATATATATATATATATATATATATACACGCACTTCTCGCCCTACTGTGCAAGAACCGATTTGCCTAATAAGCCAAGTTTTCCTGAATTTATATATTTTTCTATTTTTTTTTCTTATGAAATGATAAAAGCTATCCATTTCATTATGTATGAGGTCAATTTTTATATTAAATTTGAGTCAAAACTAACGTAGGTATAAGACCGAACCTAACCTACCCTACCTAACCTAACCTAACCTAGCATAACCTAACCTAACCTAGCATAACCTAACCTAACCTAGCATAACCTAACCTAGCATAACCTAACCTAACCTAGCATAACCTAACCTAAACTAACATAACTAAGTCAATAATTTATGTTCTTAATATAATATAATAATAATAATTCAAATAATCCAATTGGAAACAATTTGTTGAAAAAATAGAAAATCACTCTGCCTATTAGACAAATCGGGCATAGTAGGCTGAGAAGTGCGTTCTGGCTACTAGGTACGACACATATATATATATATATATATATATATATATATATATATATATATATATATATATATATATATATATATATATTTATATATATATATATATATATATATATATATAATTATATTTCAGTTTAACTTTGGTGGAAGTATAGATGGTGACGTGATCTTCACACCTGATTCTTATCTACCCCGACGAGCGGCCCTCAACCTCACTCTCGACCTCCTGGACAAGTCTCTCAATATCTTCGAATTTGGTGGCGACTTTAGTGGCCTGGAAAAGTATGCTGAAAGATTTTTCGGTAAAAATGGATATTTTGAGAACGAGGGAATTGAAAAGATTCTGGAAAGTCTCAGACCAAAGCGAGATATTCAAGATGAAAAGATTCAAGAATTCCAGAGACTTTACGACGAGGCGAGAACAGTAAATGAATTAGAACCCAGCATAGACGAGGACCCGAGAGCATCTGTATATCTGAGGGTGTTTGGCAACGAAGTACTTCACTTAGACAATGCCCTCAAGGCCAATCCACTACACTTCCTGCAGCAGCTAATTAAAGAGTTATCAACACCAAAATCATTTCAGGTAGGTTTAATAATTTTATATTTGTAAACCGCATATTTTTACGCATTAAAACAAATATATATATAAATTTTCTCGGAATGTGTTTAGCTGCAACATGAAGAGTATGTGTACCTAATTAATTGAAAACTAATAAAACTACATCAGGTTGGCATAAGGGATCTTCCAGGCTACTTTTGCATCATTTACTTTTGCATCATTTTCATAGGTTCAAAACTAAGCTAAATAAAATTAATTATCTTCAAGATTATTTTACTTTACAATTATCATTTGTCTCATTATTTTGTGTTATATATTAATCTTGAGTCTCTACTGATGTTTTTGTTTTCTCCACCAAACTTGTGTATCCTTCATGGTTATCTATGGTGATCTTTATTCTACTTCTAATTGCTTTAATTTTTTTGTTTACTTGCATTTATTGTTGTGTTTTGCTATAATAATTCTCTAACTACAGCAGATTTAGTATTTATGTAAGCATCTACCTCAGTGTCATCGTAAAATCTTGCTCATAAATATAATCTTACCCTGTTATTTTTATAAATTTTAAATTTAATTGTAATATGATTTATACATCATTTATTGTAATTAATTGTTAAGCTCATTTTGTTTTCTTAAGTTCATGCTAATTATAGGTTCATAACTAGCTATATAAAATTATGTATCTTTAAGATTATTTTTACTTTACGATTATTATTTGTCTCATTATTTTTTTGCTATATATTAATCTTGTCAGTCTACTGATTTTTTGTCTTCTCTCTTGACCTAACTTCTGTATCCTTCCTGGCTATTTACGGTGATCTTTACTCTACTTCAAATTGTTTCTATTTTTTGTGTACTTACATTTATTGTTGTGTTTTGCTATAATTACTTTCTATTTACAGCAGATTTAGTATTTATCTGTTCCTGTAATTGCTTATCTTATTGTATCGTGACATTATTGTATCTATATGCTTATTGATATTGATCCTGATCGAAATCTTCTGTCCCATACACACACAAATCAGCACATTGATCATCATTATTGCAGGTATTACACAGCAAATCTTGCAAAAAAAAAAACTCGTAAATAGCACCTGCTTATCAGTTTACAACCAAAATGTTAGATCATTTGGTAAACATTTTGATGATATAAATGCACTACTCACAGCACTAGGTACTAAATTATCGTTCATTATTTTAACAGAAACCTGGCTAAGTAAATATTATTCCCAACTCTACAACTTAGCTGGTTATAAAACCATTCACAACTGCAGGCCTAATAAAAAAGGAGGTGGCTCAGCAATATATTACCAAGATATCTTCATCTGCAATAGTGTCGTTAGTGATAGAGACGACTATTGTGAATATACCTTGCCAAGTTCTCCAGTAAATCCCTTAAATCCTCCCTGACTATCGGTGCCATCTATAGATTTCCTAATACCAACATAGCTTTATTCTCAGACAATGTAAGGAATCTTATCATAAATAACAATCTCAACAAAAATCACATCTTTCTAGGAGGTAATTTCAATATTGACCTGGGTCTTCAAAATTACCCTCAAGTTGACTATTTCCGTAACAGCATGCACTCCTGTATGCTAATCCCCACAATCACCAAGCACACCCGTGTCACTCAAACATCTGTCACTACCTTGGATCATTTATGGACTATTATAACAGCTCCCCTTACATCTGGTATAATCAATGACAGAACAACTGACTACTATCCTACCTTCCTCATAGCAAACATGGACACAACACCACCAGAATGCAAGAAACTCTCATTCAGGCTACACAGTGACTCAGTTTTAGGCAATGTCTCTAATGCACTTCACAATATTAACTGGGAATCTGAATTCAATAATACACAGGATATAAACTCATTAACTAACCTCTTTCTCTTCAAAACTCTAAGCCTCTACAACACTCACTGTCCCCTAATTACCAAACAAGTAACTGACAAAAGAGTAAACAATCTGTGGTTCACAAGTGGCATACTCAAATCAATCAACAAAAAACATGAATATGAAAAGAAATTTAGGATTGGCCTAGTTACAAAGGATGTAGTTAAAAGGTATTCATCAGTGCTTACCAGTATCATAAGAAAAGCTAAACTTTTATATTATGAGATAAAATTCAAAGAAGCAAAAGGCAACATGAAAAGCACATGGAATACCATCTCTACTATCTTAGGAACTAAACAGCACTCCCACAACCAGATAACACTCTCTAAGGATGGCCTTACACCGTAAACTGATTTAGAAATGGCAAATGAATTTAATAGCTTCATTTCATCGGTTGGTGGTAACCTTGCCAGAAAAATCCCACAGAGTCAGACACATATCAACACATATCTCTCAGGCAGTTATCCAAACTCTCTTCTCCTCTCACCAGTCAGCCCGACAGATGTTGTGTCCATCATACACTCACTAAAAACCAAAGCTGGGAACATCAGTGAAATCCCATCCATTGTATACAAGAGCGCCTCCCATGCCCTTGCGCCACCTATAGCTCTGCTGTTCAACAAATCCCTTGAGTGTCATACCTTCCCTGATATCCTTAAAAAAGCAAGAGTAACGCCAGTTCACAAAGGAGGCAATCCGGCAGACATAAACAATTATAGACCAATATCAAACCTACCAATACTATTAAAAATATTTGAAAAAATTATCTACAAACAGCTCTACTCCTAACTCGTAAAATTCGAAATTCTTAGCCCCTGTCAGTTTGGTTTCCGCTCCCAAAAGAGTACCAACGATGCAATTATTAGTCTCCTTGATATAATTTACTCAGCCCTTGACAAAAATGAGTTTGATTGGACTCTTCATTGACCTGAGAAAGGCCTTTGATACTGGTAATCACAACTACCTCTTACGTAAACTCCATCATTATGGAATCCGAGGCCATGCACTGGACTATATCCAATCCTATCTTAGTGATAGACACCAATGTGTAGCCATCAATGATATAACCTCTCCCACTAACCGTAGGGGTGCCGCAGGGCAGCATCCTAGGGACCTCTCCTAATTCTTATATACATCAATGATCTGCCTAATGTCTCTAACATTCTGAAACCTATGTTGTTTGCTGATGATACTACCCTCATCTACTCTAACCCCAACCCACATACACTAAATAATGCTGTTAATAATGAATTAAAAAACTCCACTTATGGATGTCAACCAACAAACTAACACTTAACATAGAAAAGACCTACTATATCTTATTTGGAAGCAAATCTACAAATGCAATTTAGCTTCAGATAGACAATGTAAACATTAGTAGTAAAAATGATGGAATGTTTCTTGGCCTATTCCTAGACAAGAGACTCAACTTCAGCACCCATGTTATAAATTTAAAGTGCTGCTTATGAGTTTAGTTGCTGTTATGGGGAGTATCAAGTATTAAAGAGAAAGGCCAGCAGTTAGAATCAGGAAGTATCAAATTTAGTGGAGATCAGATAGGCCCGGCCCCCAATAAGAATACAAACAATATTAATTTAGTGGCTTCAAGAACATATGTCAGCCTAGAGGTTTGATCATTGATCTCCTACACAGGAAGAATGGATACTCCTTTAAAACTAACTTATTTATTAAACCCTCTTAACAACCCCCATATACATTAACAACAATAACAAACTACTTTACCACACTATTTTACTTTAAAAGCCTTGGTCCACATAGGCAGGATACAAGGTTTTACAATTAGGACAAGCTAGGGTAAAATCTACTAGCAAAGAACTTGAAGGCTTGAAGCAGCCTAGGGTACTTAAGCCCCACGTGGTACCCTAGTCAAAACACAACATCTAGGGATGCCCAAAACACTGGCTTATACTACACAATATCTACCCAAGTCTAGCAAGTAGCACGGGTTAGGTACTTATCTTAGTAGAGTTCAGTAGCTTAAGGTAAGGGAAGGGAGGAGGAGGAGGAGGAGGAGAATCGAGGCAGAGCCCCACAGGAATATATTGATACCACACAGCCTGAACAGAGAAGACCAGAGCAGGAGCCTTCAGTCCCTCAGCTCTCTCCAGTTGTTGCCGGGGAGATAACTAACTGATCGCGCAGCTTATAAACATTACAAATCTTCACCGACGTACAATGCTGTTTACTTTACTAGTTCTAATGATAGTTAATAATTAGTTCAACGTATAGTTAATCAACAACAAGCTCAAGAGTCTGAATGCTCTGTGAGAAACAAGATTCGTCTTACGTTTGGCAAGGGCGACGGTAATAAGGCGTAGGGTTTTAAAGAGACCTGATATAAATATTATTGTAATTAAATATCCTTCTCACATGATCCAATTCTATGAATTAATGTAAGGTCAAATTGCTCAAATTGACCTCTGGTTTCCATCTGAGGAACCCAGGGTCGTAACAACCCACATACAACACATAACTAAGAAAGTCTCTAAAACAGTTGGTATACTCTCCAAAATCAGATATTATGTTCCTAACTCTGCTCTCATCTCTCTATATTATGCACTAATCTATCCCTATCTTAATTATGGTATCTGTGCATGGGATTCAACCACTGCAAACCACCTCAAGTCCATCATCACCCAGCAAAAATCTGCTATCAAAATAATAAAACATTTTGCTTTCAGACAACACTCAGCCCCCTTGTTTAACTCCCTTAACATGCTATACATAATCTCACTCCACAAATTCTCTTGTGTAAACTATATTTACAAAACCCTGTTCTTAAATCCAAATCCTGCTCTGAAACTCTCCCTGGACAGATGTAATAGGACCCATTATCACCACACCAGACATAAATATCACTTTGATATCCCTAGAGTCAAACTTAATCTGTGTAAACACTCTGTGCAAATAAAGGGACCCAGTCTATGGAACTCACTCCCTAATGAATTGAAAAGCTGTCCAACTTTTGTATCATTTAAAAACAAAACTAAAATTACCTAATTTCATCTTCATAGTTTTTTACCTTGTTGTTTTAAAATTGCACTGCATCTAGCACTACCCAATCTCCCAATCTTTATGTACCCAATCCGAACAACTTTACCATTGTGATCATTGCTGTCTTCTTATATGTGCTATTAATTTTGTTTAAATTACCAATCAAGCTGTCAATGTAATCAATCTGAGCTTTAATATACTTACTAATCTCTTGCATCTCATTTTTTTCTTGCAATGTACCTGTTATCATTTTATTAATTCTGCTAGACTTTACCTACTTAAAATTATCTGTTAGATTAAGGATCTGCCCGAAACGCTGCGTGTACTAGTGGCCTTATAAGATTGTAAATACTATGCTATGTATTCTCACAAACCCAATGTACCTTCTTGTATATAAATAAATAAATAAATAAATTTCTAGACAGATGCTTAGAAATTATTCTGATGATTTTAGATATTAAGGTCACTATATTATCACCATCTTAGTGCGCCTAGTTCACTATCACCTAACTGGGCCTAGTTCACTATCACCTTAGTGGACCTAATTCACTATCACCTTAGTCGCAAAGGTCACTATCCGCTTAGTGGGCCTAGTTCCCTATCACCTTACTGGGCTTAGTTCACTATCACCTTACTAGACCTAGTTCACTATCACCTTACTGGACCTAGTTCACTATCACCTTAGTCACCAAGTTCACTATCATCTTAGTGGGCCCAAGCTCACTATCACCTAAACACACAACGTAACTGGCCCTATTTTCTGCTTGTGTTAGTTTGTAATAAAAATATTTCATCTTGGTATAACGTTTTTTATGACGTATTACAAAGTTGTTACAACTTGTTTGGTTTTAACACGTAGCAACGTCATTTTTTTTTTTTTAGAACATTGTAGTTTCGTCGTGTGTTTGGCGGGATAGTTCGCCAAGTTCACTATCATCTTATTCGCCAAGTTCACTATCATCTTAGTGGGTCAAGTTCACTATCACTTTAATTGCCAAGGTGATGCTTTATCGAGAGTTCGACAATTCATATTTTCCAGCCAGGTTGGCCTGAGACATTTCCTTCAAGTCTGGTGCGCGCTGTTAACCATACGATACACATCTCTTAGTTTATTAATACTAATTCAGTAATTGTTTTTTAGATTGTGGACCAGGAGCTCTTGAGTTCAACTTTACTGGGCTTTCCCCTGAGGATGAAGGTCAACGCTACAGGCATAGTGACCTTCAGTCGAACTGGCAAGTTTGAAATGAGCGGTACTCAAAGAATTCTTCTTGAAGGCAAAATCTCACCTTCTGCAGTTATGGCAACGGACGAAATGATTCTGGTTGATGGATATGTTTGTTCTAGTGGAATCAGAAGAACAACAACTCGTTTGGCACGCTCAGATTTTGGGGGGAAGTTTTCACTGGAAAATGGACAGATTGTTGATGTCCAATTTAATGTTCCTGGACAAGAGGTGGCAACAGTGAGCTCGTCGGTGAAAGTTTCACTCTACAAAAATTTGAAAAGGGGCTGGGAAGAGCAGTTGCCAGACTCACCACTCACACCGCAGAAGTATTGCTCACCAGAGAGCTTCAGTACTGTTCTTGGTCTTGAAGTATGCAGGAGTCATAGTTATGGCACTCGTACTGCTTATGGCAAAACTTACCTCAGTGAACCCTATGATACGAAAGTTACAGTTGCCAAGACAGACGCATTTGAACAATATATAGTCTCATATAAAAAGATAGACAGTACTGTCACTGCTCTCTTTGACACCCCTGGTTCTTCCATTGACAGAAGAGTATCCTTTCAAGCCGAGGTCAAGCCAGAAAGTGCAGAAGGCTCTATTATAATACCAGGAAAAGGTATCGAAGCGCAATACGAGAATTCTGACGCTTTACAAAAATTAAGTCTTCAGTTTTATAAAAGTTCTAAGCTTGAAGGAGAATTTGAAATTTCTCTTCAAAACATAAAAGAACGAAATTATACTGAATATTCTCCTAAGCTGCACTTATCACTGAATAACTTTGTTGAGATACATGTAAATGGGACTCTGCTAATGGGCCCAGATGTTTTCAAAGTGAAGGCAAGCACCATGACCAGTCTCCAAGCAGAGCCAGCAGAAGTCGAAGGTAATTATCTTATAAATCTCTAATCTCAAGTATGTGTATAGACGATGAATGATTAACGTTGTTCATAATTGAGTGGATGATCGTTTACATATATCTGAAACAGGATAAGTCCAAGGACTGGACCCTGTAGGACTCCACTATTGACGTATCCCCGCTCTGAGACCTCACCCCTCGCAGTGACTCCCTGCCTTCTGTTTCTTTGGTACTACCTTATCCACTGGAGCGCCTTCCCTGTTATTCCTGCCTGCATCTCCAACATATGCACTAGTCTCTTATGAGTACAGTGTCAAAGGCTGTCTAGCAATCTAGAAAGATGCAGTCTGCCCACCCTTCTCTTCTTTGCCTAATTTTTGTCGTCTGGTCATAGAATTCTATTAAACCTGTGAGGCAAGATTTGCCATCCCTAAACCCATGCTGGTATTGGGTTACAAAGTTCTTTTGCTCCAGATGATCTACTTGTTTTCCTTTCACAGTCTTATCTATTACCGAAGGACACGAGCCTGGAGTTCAGTGCCTCCTGTATATCTCCATTGTTGTATATCAGGACTACATTAGCCATCTTCCAAATGTTTGGCAGTTCTCTGTGGAGGAATTTGGATTAGGTGAGAAAATCCACAGGAGCCGTGATGAGGATTCGAGTCTATGGGCTAGGTATTCCCAGATACACACTCTACACGACTAAGGCACGACATGGTCAAAACAATGTGAAATCCTGGATCGGCTTCCATGGAAACTTTGGGAATCCACGTGGGTTCAATTGCACTCAACTGCACAAGTGCAATTGTACTCAATTTCACGAGTGCAATTGCACTCAATTGCAATTCTTTTGACCATGTTGTGGTTTAGTTGTCTAGCTCGTGCGTCTGGGAATACCTGCACATAGGTTCGAATCCTCATCATGGCTCATGATCCATGAAAATCCATGGCTCATGGATTTTCTCATTGATATATCACGTCACTGTGATTTCCCTGTATTGGGTTAGGTTTTTGCTTTATTTGCTATGTCATTTTCATACTATGTTTGTGCCTCTCTTCTCACCCTGAGATATTCATTCCTGTCCCTCCGATATCTTTTTTTGCTCTCTGGTCTCATGTTATTTCAGTAGTTTTTCCATTCTCTTGTACTTCGATGCTTTGCAAGCGTACATGCCTGATTAACAATAGGATCCCCATTTACATTTTTTCCCCTTTTGGACAGACACAGACTTGTCTACTGCCTCCTTACACGTCTGGGTGATGTAGTCCATGTATTGTATGTGCAGCTTTTCTCTGAGTTCTGTTACCTATGACACATTCATTACGAATTTTCTTATCTCTTCATAGTTTCCCTTCAAGTATGCCAGCCTTTTGTTTTCTCGTACCTTCCTTGAGAGAGTGATTCCCTACTTCTACCAGATACTCAAACATCAATATACTGTGCAGGCGATGAGTCACAATAACGTGGCTGAAGTATTTTGACCAGACCACACACTAGAAAGTGAAGGGACGACGACGTTTCGGTCCGTCCTGGACCATTCTCAAGTCGATTCCATAATCGACTTGAGAATAGTCCAGGACGGACCGAAACGTCGTCGTCCTTTCACTTTCTAGTGTGTGGTCTGGTCAATTAATATACTGTGATCTGTTATCACGTACATTCCCATGGTGCTTCAAAGGTAATTTCCCTTATGTCTGAATCGATCAAATTGGTTGACCAGGTCAAGTCTCGCTGGTTCGTCATTGCCACTTATTCTTGTAGGTCCCCTGACATGATGGCTTAAAATGTTTCTTGTTACCACTTCCATAGTTAACTCTCCATATTTCTGCACCCCCATGTGGATCTTTCTTCTTCCAGTCTATCTTCTATGATTGACGTCTCCCATAATAAGCAGACAGGATAAATGTTTACAGGCAACAGTCACTGTCTTTTCAATTTTAGTAGTAACTATCATGTTTTTTCTGTCATTTTCTTGCCTGGGTCTTCTGTCATTTTGTGAAGGGTTATATATCACTGCTACTACTATTTCAACCCGTTCTCGCACTTGCTTTTAGTCAATATTGGCTTATTTAATAAGTGCATATGTGACACACTAATTGATTGTGAATATTTTAGTTTACCTTGACAAGCTTCATAGAAAATACCAACCTCACCTAACCTTCTTAGTATGTTAAGATAAGCATCTTATTGCTTCTTATTTACAATTATTACTTAACCTATCAACGGTATAGGTTAAGTAATAATTGTAATTAATTAAGAAGCAATAAGATGCTTATCTTAACATACTAAGAAGGTTAGGTGAGGTCGGTGTTTTCTATGAAGGTTTTTAAGGTAAACTAAAATATTCACAATCAATTAGTATGTCTTATATGCACTTATTAAATAAGCCAATATTGACTATAAGCAAGTGCGAGAACGGGTTGACTATTTTTAGTCCTACCATCATCATGGTGCCTGTTATGTAGTTACTGAATGCTTCACAGTAACAGTGTAGTCCTGGGGAAACACTGCATTTGTTATAATACCTGACAATTTCGTTTCAATGAGCGCTATTACATCCGGGTTGTCCTCTTGTGCTCTGTCTCTAGGTTCACTTGCTTTGTTTGTAATATCATCTATGTTTGGGTACATTACTTTGAAGTTGACTCTCTTCTGTCCAGTTTTAGTTAGCCTTGGTGTCCCTGGGACAAGGGTGCAGGAAGGATCTGGGAAGGAAGGGCAGAGAGGGGCCTCAGATGGGAGGGCAGCGAGGACATGAAATGAAGCAGGGAGATCAGGGGATGGAGGAATAAGGGCAACCTAGGATGGGATGGGGGAACAGAGAGGAAATGGTGTGTGGGAACTAGGAGGGCATGGAGTGGGGAACAGGGGAAGCATGGACTGGAGAGGGTTTCTAAGGGTTGGGGTAGCGTAGGTGGTGATTGGGGGAGGAAAATTGTGGGTTGGGATAGTAGTTGGCTTCTGTTACTCTCTGGGGATTATTGACCTGCCAGTGGAGGGTTTCCTACTCTTCCCTAAAGTTACTAAAGATTCTGAGCCGATTGCTGCATCTCCTCCCATTCCCTGTTCTCTCTCCTTGCATCTCTTGATCCTGCTGCCCTCTCTCTTCCCTCGTCATGTCCCCCTGCAGAAAAACATCCTTGTATTCCCTTACTTGCAGAAGTTTGCTCTTCCTGGATAAGATTGCGTTTTGCTGCCTCATTTGTGAATACTATCTTCATCAGTCGCTTTGTTTCCCTTTTGTAACTACCTAGCCATAAAACTTTCTCTACACTGCTATTAGCATCCACATTTGTAAATGCTCTAGGATCTTTGTCAAAGTTGTTCAGTCCTTCCTTCTCCACTCCACTTCTCCTAGTTGGAGCCTTCCGGTTCATGAACTCCTACCTCACCAGAGCTCTCTTCCTTTCCAACAGCTGACTTGTGCAATTTGCAGCTTCCTGTGAAGATGTTATCATAACTGCATTATGCAATGATTTCCCAATACTAACATAGCTGCATTCTCAGATAACTTGAGGAATCTTATCATAAACAATAACCTCAACAAAAATCACATAGTTCTGGGAGGTGATTTCAATACTGACCTTGGGCTACAAAATACCTCTCAAGTAGACTATTTCCTTAACAGTAAGAATTCCTGTATGCTCATCCCCACAATCACCAGGCCCACCCTATTCACTCAGACTTCCGCTACTTCCCTGGGTTACTTATGGACCAACATAACAGCTCCCCTTACATCAGGTATAATCACTGACAGAACAACTGACCACTATCCTACCTTCCTCATAGTGAACATGGCCATAACACCACCAGTTAACAAGAAAATTACCTTCAAGTTACACAGTGAAGCAGCAATAATCAATCTCACAAATGCCCTCCACAATATAAACTGGGAATCTGAATTTATCAATACACAGGATATTAATTCCTTAACTAGCCTCTTCCTTTCCAAAATTCTAAGCCTTTACAATACTTATTGTCCTCTCCTCACCAAGCAAGTAACTGGCAACAGGTTAAATAATCCCTGACTCACTAATGGCATACTTAAAGCAATCGACAAGAAACATGAATATGAGAAAATTCTTAGGATTGGCCTAGTTGCAAAATAAGTAGTTAAGAGGTTTACCAGTATAATAAGAAGAGCAAAGCGTTCCTATTACGAGAATAAATTCAAAGAAGCAAAAGGCAACATGAAAAGCACATGGAGAGCCATCTCTAACATCCTAGAGCTAAACAACATTCACATAACTAGATAATCTCCAAGGATGGTTATACACCTGCAACAGATCTTGAAACAGCAACTGAATTGAATAGCATCTTTCCATCGATTGGTGCTAACCTTGCCCGAAAAATCCCACAGATTCAAGACAGTTGTTACTGTTACCGTTCGTACGCACCGCTCGTAGTATCGGGTACAGTGTTAAGTATAGTCTAGGGACACTGACTGTATCTAAATATGATATACCAGGGTGCCCCGTGATACAGTACAAGAAAGAAAAAAAATATAACACCAGGTTATAAACATAGGCATAAATTATATATATATAGTATAAAATACTTAACAAACAACTAAAAGCATGTAATATCAATACTATCTAACATGGCAATCACTTTGAATAACACTAGTGAATCAATGGTTAAATAATTAAACGGTAATGTTCCTCCAGACAAAAATTATGCTACATTACTACAACAGTACAGAACACTTAACCGAATAGGCTTCCCAGGTGACGTCTCTCAGCTAACTGAGCTCTGTCTCTGACACTACCCATAATTCTCTCTCCCTCCGCCTTCATCCAGGATGATGGATGGTAATGAAGGACTTTTTAATATTTATAATTATTGAGACCAACAATCGTTCTCAAATGTATAGGAATGCAAACTATAATATAATGGTCACATGCAAATAATATAAGTTACACTGCCACATGCTTAATCACAGGAAATTAACAATAATATGAATAGTAAAAGGTGACATCTGGAACTCCCATAACTGAACAGGTCCAGCATACTAATCCCGAAA